TTCGTTCGCTGATTGGAAGTTATTGGTGTCTAAAGTTTAACTTGGCCATATAAGTCCTGATGGGTCGAATTTCAGAGCCACGTATGACAAAACGGTTCCCTTCGTTCGTTTCGCGCTAATATCGCGTGTCTGAAAGCGAAAACTGACAGTTAACCCATTCCATTTCAAATCTAGCATCCCTTCATTGCGCTCGGTAGGCGGAGTAACTTAGATTTCCCCTTCTGCATTATCTTCCTCTGTGGTAAGCATCATTTGTTCTGGCTTGTCACTAGTTCATTCTTTATCCAAGACCTGACTTAAATGAGAATAAACTAGCTAACAATCGACTAAAGTATCAGCAACTTTTAGCAAATCGTCAACGTAAAACTGTTTCCTGGATACCTCAATAACTAATTTATCAACCTCATGAGTGTCGTCAAAGATCATTCCTCATAAGAGATTGTCATGAAAACATGTCCTGAACTGTGTAGAATACTGTTTTCGTTTCCATATGGCCCAATAAACACCATGAAAACCGACAATCATCTTTGTCATGCGGTAGAACAGAGACTTGGGGGAACTCTCGTTTTAACATCGGCAGTGATTCCTGTTGACCACTGATGAAATCCAGTGAAAACAGCCACCAGGTGGTTTGATTACCCGGAACGCAGAGAGATTCCTGAGTACTATGTAGCACAGTAGAATACAAGCAATAATTATTTGGGATTAATCGAACAGAACGGTGGATGGTACGAAGAACACCAAACTTGTCCACCGACATAATCCCTTCTGATCGTTTTAATGAAATCCCTCCGAGCACATTACATTAACATACCGCTTGTGCGAAGCCCAATGGCGAGTATTTAAGCCTCTTCAACGAATCCATTGGAATTTTCAAGCGTTCCCTGTTATTAGGTAGCTGTTGTGGGTTACGCCTTGGAACTTCTATCTGACGGTGTCCACTTTTTAACCCTATGGAGTCATACGCGATGTTAAGAGCTTTACGACCTTAGTTGGACATGGGCACGTAGTTACTCGCATCCTTAAACTCATTCTTATAGAACTATTCGGATAGTCTGTTTTTGCATAAGGTAACTTATGACTCATCATCCTAATTCTTTGTAGTGTCTTACTGTAAGGTCTGAGTAAAGTCTTCTCTAAAAGCGTTTTTATGGTGCAAGGTTCTTTAGCTCCACCGAACAGTTTGTGCCTAAACGCACTTTTGTCGCATTATAAACGGTCGGCAGCTTAATGTCTTTATTTTTCAATCCTGTCAAAATGGAGCTGTGCAAGTAGCTCCAAGTTACCATCGAGTTTATTATTTACACTATAGGGCTTCTACAACACATTATTTAGTAAATTATTAGGAAACTCAGAAGCATGGGACAGGTAAACAAGTGGGAAATATATCTTCCCAATGATTTTTAAGGCGTCCTTTACCTGTTGAATGATGAGCACCGTTTCTTAGTGTTTGACTAGGTTTTCTGCTTCACCTTCCCTTCGCAGTGCTTTGGAAGATAAGAATTTAAAAACATTATCAATCTTCTACAATATTACCAACTGCCAGTCGGATTTTTTGACAGAAAAGTCACCTTCTAAAACAAAACCTTTTGCAACAGCGGCAATCTTTCGAGTATGTCTTTGAAATCCTTGATATAAAGGAAGATTATGGTGGAGAAAGCATTAGTTGAACTCGTTTACAAGATGGAATAGATTATGAATGCAGTATTTTAAGAAGCTAGTTGGTTGGGCTGTTTGAACGACTTCCAGCTCGCTCCCAGTTGGCTTCAACTAGAAATAACCATCAAGATTGTTGTGTCACCACCTATCCCATCAGAACTGATCTTCGGTCACACTACCTGCCGACTTTTTGGTCAGGTCCACCCCTACCACCTATATTAATGCCTCACGCAATTACTGACGAATGCACTTCTAAGTTCAGTATTTTTATGTATCTTTAACTATTAGCCATATAATATCTTTATCATATTCTTGAACCCTCTTTGCTTTGCAGTAACATTTTGAGTTCACTTCTTAAGAAACTGGTACACACTCATGCCAGCGGAAGTGGGATAGATGACACATGAGATGCCACGAAATGGTGAGTAGTCGCATACTAACAGTTTGCCATCATTTGAGTGATTTCTACTTTTGAAAGCAGTGATTAGGTTGCGAGCCATAGTTGTGTGTGAAAAGACCTATTTCCCGCAACTCTTCGTAATACGGTTTGCACAGGAGACCTAAAACCTCTTTTGATGCGGTTCTCTGAACTCTTACCAAAAGGTTGCCGTCTCTTTTAAGTGGTTATGGAGCAGCTGTTTCATGCGACTTAAAGTGCAATTATGCATAGGTTTTGTAAGGAAAAGCTCAACTTATTACCTACGCTAGAAGTATGTAACAGATTATTTAGTCGCCACTTCACCCAATTAACTCACGATTCCATACAGTTTTCCATTAGAACGAGACTTGAATCCCATTCAAACTCTAGACAATTTAGATTGTTGCTCTTTAGGGGGTATGGTACTCTCTGAGTCGTCGGGTATATGACTAGGCCGCTTTTGCATTTCGTTGCAGTTAAAAGACATTTCATTTACCTGTGCATGGTCTTGGAGGTTTTCAGGTCTACCTGCAACCAGTCTGTGACTTCTGAAAATTTTATTGTTCTCGAAACATGTACACCACCAAAATAGAGAAGTGCTTGACAACTCAGAAGGTAAAGCAAGCCATTTTCTGGGACCCCAGGAGGTGAGTTGCGACAAAATGATCAAACCCGACTGAATTAATTACAGAATTTCCTTCCACCTAAGTAGTCAATAGACCAACGTAGAAGCATACCACCAGTGCTAGTCTGTCTTATTTTGTGTTGAGGAGTACCAAGTGCTTTTGCAAAATCAGGAAAGACCACATGGGCTTAGACATTCGCCTCCTACTATAATGTCTAGTCATTCCTTGCTAACAGTAGGTTTGTTGTGCATGCATTCCCCTCCGGAAACTATGTTGTATTTCGTGAAGCGTAAGGTTCCTGTCTGTGTGTTTTCTAATTTGACCACCAGGTAGGCTTTCTAACACTTTTGAAACAGCTTGAAGTGGGGCTACTGATCTATAATTTAATACATCTTACCTATTCCCGTTCCCGAAAACTGATTATAGAACAAATATCTCTTCATTATGCCGTCTGTCTGGGCCCAACTAGTATTGACTCAGGTCACATAATGGCCACAGTGAATTCAAATATCATCGCAACCTGGGGATATTCCCGGGCCGCGTTTGAATAGTTTCCTTAGGAGGCTGACGTTGAATGTTTCTATTAAGTTCTTCCTGGCTGTTCAACGAAACAACTACGTTGTCTTTTGATTGAGATGCCTATCATATTGTTTAGCCTTATGTCTGAGGTGGAACTGAATGTTTCGTGTATTTCCATACTAGCGAGACACTATTAATTGAGGCTTTTTAGGTTTTGTTTCCTACATAAATTCTTGGGATTTATAAGGAGCAAGACTGTAACGACAGAAGGCAAGAGTCAGGCAACAGATCATTTATTAAGGAAATCAACGCATATTTATATATTTTCATGTACATTAATATGGATATTTAAGCAAACAAACACAGTCTTCCGATTGGTTGCTTCTCACGTAAAGTTAATCTTTCATCTATTTGTGACTGTTTCTTGAATGTCAAATCCTCTATATGTTAACTGCATCCGCCTACTCAAAGTCTGCTGTGGTCGGTTTTGAATCAATCTTTGTTCACCTTTTCTCACGACAAATCTTGGGAACGTAAATATTGACGTAAATTACTGTCTACCGATTTGGCTAGTAGACAGCTGTCGCCACAAGACGGCAAGGTTTGCTTGAAATGACTTCCTGTCGCTCAGAACCCTTGTATTATGATATGTTTCTGAACGTTACATACACTTCATGGTAAGTCTGCTTCCTGAAGAATAGAGTTTGGCCTAATTAATGCTCTGTGTGTCTCACCTTAACCACGAAGAATCCTACCTTAGACTTAATGTGACTAGAGGGATCTATAGTTGAGATCACAATGTAAATAATCCTCTTTACTATTTCTCAATTCAAAGCAGTGGGTCGTACTACCCGATCTGTGGGCCATGTGGCACCTGGAGATTTTCCCATTATGATGTGGCGAGATATGCCAGAATATAGGTAAGGTCACGTAGCATCCCCCTCTTAACATATGTAAATAACCAGGCCAAACGGCGTTGTCGCAGTATGGTAACTACTCAGAAGGATTTAGTCTGAATGTTTTCTGTTAGTAAATAATTCCCAGTCATTATCTGATGCAGTTTTTATGACTTTCTACCATTATTTCACATAGTTTTACCCCCTAATTTCTGAATGAGACCAACACTTCTGTTTCAAGCTCTTTGAGCAAAAACTGCCCTCAGGTTGAGGGATTGGGCGTTAAAGTCTTCAGCTATAATGATTTGATAACAGCACAGATTAGGGTTTTGAGAAGTCACTGGTTGTTTTCTGACTGAAGGTGGTCGATATATTTTATCAAATCGATGCTTATTGTAGCAGGTGTTGAACAAATACTGTCTCGAGCTTGTAAGTTAAACTGGTGGTCAGGTATCTCTGTCTTCTCTGTGTTCACCGGAAACCCGGTCTCCGCTAAGCTTCCCTGGGTTTTATCGGTTATCTGTAGTATATCTCCTAGTCATGCGAGTGATTAGCTTTCGAGCTATTTTCAGATCTAAAAGTCGCACAAAATATATCTACACTGGTGAAAAATATAATACCCAAAGTTAGGGACTTACATGATGCCCGATATTCAGTATTAATTAGCTGTATACGGTCATTATTACATCAGAAGATCATATTAAATGTGAAAAACATTTGATCTTGCCCGATTATATCAAATGTGAATATTTCCAAAGTTGTTATAGTGACTCAATCTGTGTCAAATCATTGTACTCTAGGTCATTTATGGGAGCCTCCTATGAATTTTTCAAATGTCGTGGTTTTTAGTCTTGACACCTATTGTGTGAAAACTGATGCGTTATGTCACGGAATAATACAAAAAGTACAAGAATTATAATTTATAATTTTTTCAATCAGATCATAGATTCGTTCAGTATATGACTCCCAATCTGTTGATGAAAAAGACTAAATCAGAAGAACCAGTTCGTGTTTTCGCTGTCAACCTTTCTGGAAAGAATAGTGATTACAAAATTGAAATTATTGAAAACTTGGAACAGTTTTCGGAATTAAAACAGCTGAATTTATCGTATAACCGTATCTACAAAATTAATGGGTTATCAAGTTTGTGCCACCTCACTTCGTTGAATATTTCACATAATTCCATTAAATCTCTGGATGGGATTCAGTCTTTGTCTAATTTATTGGTACGTTGGAATATTCTCAGTTTATTTCGAAGGTACTGAAAGCTAACGATAACCAAATAACATCGATCCCAAAGTGGTTGTGCAAGCGGCTTCCAAAATTGAAGACTATCCATCTGCACTGCAATCGAATCGACTCCGTAAGTTTGTTCGCTTTCGTTTTATGCTATCAGTTTTATAAATAAGATGGATCACTTTTTTTCTAGTTACTTAAATGGGTCTATCACAAATGAGCTTCAGCTTCGTCATAATGTGTGAACTTGTTTCCTACTGTGGGAACTTCACTAAAAATTAATTTTCTGTGACTAACAGATACCTTTTCACTTATCACGTTCTCTACGCAGTGTTTGCGGAATTAGTAACCTAATACATTTTCTGGACTGCTCTACCCGTCATCGCTCTTGACATACATGTCCTTAAAGATTCATTTTTTTCAAATTAACGTAGTGCATATGAATGTACGTGCACCGAACTGTTACTTATTCAGGTGCACGGTAGTTTTTCCTCGCTTACTCAGATAGTTATTTTTATAACTTGTAAGTTTTGGTTTTTCAACCAAGTTGGTATGTTCTACTGAAGAATGTTTCATTGTATATCTATTAAAAATTATGGAGTGATTAATAGTTGTTTCTTAGTTGCCTCAATTTGAAAACAGTCCTGTAAGATGTGTAACTGTATTCATATCTGTTTCAAACCGAATATGTAGTTCGGTGACGCCTGAAATACTAAACTAAGTGACCCCTCAGGTCCACTTTCTTCAAAAATTCTGATTACCCCATGAAATATTCACTCACTGTTATTTGCTTAGTGATGCCTGTCTTGTGTGTATACACTTTTTTACATTTAAAATCCAATTGATGGACCATGCTGTGATGAGAAGTAATGAGTGATTACGGCAGACTTTAAAAACACATTGAAGTCAGTTAAAAAAGTGATGGATGAACAAAAAGGGCTTTCCAAAACGCAACAGGTGTTGTTTGTCTTTAATGGCTGAATCCATTAGAAACATGAAGGTTTCGCTATCTAATCTGTAGATTGTTTGATGTATTTAATTGAGTTTGCCAAATCTAAAAAGCTATAGTATCCACTTCATTCGATGACTTACTCAGGATATTCCCTAAAGTAGATGTGTATTAATTTAATGCATAAAATTTGATTTCGAATAATAAAATACGGTGAAAAATTCGATCAAGCATTTCATTATTCTTCTCATGTGTGTGATAACGAGGAAGATTCAAAAACCATTCCAGCCTTCTCCGTCCCCGTGTGACCCAAAGCTAGGCTTTCTCTGTGTATTTTTGGATATGAGACTTTTCACTATCGATGATTTAAAATATTGACACCGTTTGAAAGCATACATTTGATTTCTACAAATTATATGTTTCAGAAATACATTTTTGTATCGATTCGTTTATAGCTGAATCTAAAATAGTTTTGTATTTTTAAAATGTCATTTACTTTTAACCCTATAGCTCCATCAAATAACATATATGCGATCTTTATCGAACCTAACAGTTTTCACATTCGAAGGCAATCCAGCAGTTGACCAACTAATAGTCAGTGCTTATAACAGTTGTAGCAGTGGTGATGAAGCCGTACTAAAGAATGCTATTGATAAATTCGATCCTAATTCAGTTTATCGAATCTTCGTTATATTTCACTTAAACTCGCTCATATTGCTTGACAACAAGGAAGTTCTTCCATTTGAAAGACAAGTGGCTGAACAACGGTTTTCCCAAGGTAAGATTATGAAATCCATTAGAGTTATCAGTCGTAATTTCGTAACAAGGCTATAAAACTTGACATGAATGTTTATTTTCATTCCTTCCAGTCGAAGTATCTAGGTATTTAGAGAAGTTGGATAAGTGCGAAAATCGTTTGAATGAAGTAGAAAATAAGAAATCTTCACTGGAAAAGGACTTACTTAACCATCAGTCTAAGTTAAATGAAGCTTTGCAAAAAAGGAATTTGGAAAGCGAATTAATATCTCATTTAGAAGAAGAGTTGCGTGCCAAAGACAAATTAGTAAGTCGAATTTCCGTATAATTTCTATTTGTAATTCTGTAAAATTTGTATGGTTATTAAAAACAAATAAGGGAACATTTTGGTTTTAGATTCCATTTAGTTTTCCTCCAAAGTTTTCTTTACCGTTTACTAAATTTGCAAATGAAAGTAACGCTTAGAGGATTCTCAGAAATATTCCAAAAATTAGGAGGCTTCTCCACATTAAAGGCATTCACTGATAAGGACAGATTAGTTTTGAATAATCAATTTATCACATAGGACGTAAGAAATCATATTTAAATGACCACTAGAAATTCAGTGTTCCTGCAAATTGCTTATCTAGTTATATGTATTTATTCAATTAGTACAGTGGGGTACCAAAAAATCTATATTTTTTATCCTAGCAGTTGATGAATCATTATTTTAAATATTTTTCGCTTATTTATCATATTTCATAGTATAAGCGTGATTATCAGGTAGAAGTTTCCGAACCTGTTGTATCTGGCATATGATTAAACTCTTTAAAAGGAAATATTACAGTACTTTTTTACTACTTGTCACCTTTCATATATATATATATATCCTATGCAACAGCAATCAAACCTTGACTAGCATTTTAGGAATAATGCACGATAGAGTTTTCTGTCGAATTGCTGAATACTCCACACTTATTGGAAACAAAATTTCATCAAACTTGAAATATTGCTTCGATATAAAAAAATCATGATTGCCATATGATTTGTGTATGATTTCATTCATTTCATCGGCGAAGTTAGTAAACTTAATGTTGTGTAGATGTTTTTTGACTACTTATCAATAGGTCATTTTAAGTGATAAAGAATCAGTTTTCGGAGACAGCATGATGAAATAAGTTTCTACTCTAATGTTAGCAAAAACTTTTATCAGTATTTACAGTGGTTTAAATGTCCTGCTAAGGAGCTGAATTGTGTGTGTGGCTCAGCCTAGAAGTTAATGAGAGATTCCTTTGTTTTAATTACATAGGTAGGTGCTTTTGAAGTCTGATAAGAAAATCCATGGACTAATCACTCATGCTAATTACTTTTTTGCTATTTTAATGGATTACTTTATGTTAAAATGTATCATTTGCCATTGTAGGACACTTTACAAACTTGTACATTTTTGTCAATTCAAAATATTTCATTTATGCCACTTATAAAAGATGAGGAGTATATTTATCCATCTGAATCAAGGTTACACTAGTGTCAGAATTTATAATTAATAAACATTTCGTACATACTTTAAAACTACTACGCTGCATAAAGCAGTTGACAAGCATTTGTGAGAGTAATAACTTTTGTACAATTTATTAAGATTGTATATTTTGTGTCTATTTTTTATTCTATGGGCGTTATAAATTTTATTTAGGACAGCTTAGTAATATGAATTTTTTATTTAGTCTGATGACTATAGCAAGGTGGGAAAGACAATCAGTTATTCAAATATTTGTCAATCCTACATCTATACAATATTTCCTTCGAATTATGTGGCATTCCACTTTATTTTAGTAATTAGAATAGTTGTATATATATATATATATATCCATTTATTCACTTTGGTATGGTTACTGAATCTTTTTGAAAAGATACTTTATAGTCATTCATCTCTGCCGCGTAATACCTGCGCAAAAGTAACATTATTGAATATATATATATATATAAAGAGAGAGGGGGAGAGAGAGAAATTTAGAGTATTCTCTGTGGACTAAACCGAGTCCTCAATGTAGAATTTCGCACTAAGGGGTAGCATTTCAAAGAAGCAAAAATGAAGGTAGAAAAAAAGGAAGTGCTGGAAATCTATAGTAAACGGGATTGTATGGGAGATGGCATAATTATACGAATAATAATGAAAACTCAGTAGATCTGGGAGATCACAGAGAGTGAATACGTCCGTATCATTGAGAGCGATTTCTAGCCTCAGTTTGGTTGATATGGTTTAAGCTGAGTAGTTGCATTAGATACGGAAACAGTTTGGCCAAGTAATAGCTGGTGGTATGTTTTTAATCTAGGTACTGAAATATCTGAGGAATTTTATGTCTGTTATTTTTGTCTGTTTATACTCCTCAAGCACACCTCAAAAAATGTAAGTAGTGTAGATCTTAAACTGTCCATTTTGTCTTCTTTTTTATCATTTTGTAACCGATTATGTCCGTTGTTATGTATGTAGACGTAATTTTGGTAACTGGCTTAAAATGTAGTTGTTTAATGGGTGGGACAATAGTCACATTTATTTTTACCCTATTAGGTCACTAGGTAATTTAAGGCTGTTTAAATTTTCACACTGTTGATTGCATTATTTCAGTATTTTTATTTATATAACTAAAACTGTTTAACATTGGCTCTATATATATTTTACAATTTCGCATAGCTTCATTCCAAATCACAAGAACTAGCTCGTGCATGCTTAAAACACTTTGAATTGGAACAAGAATTAGCTTTTCATAAAATTGATGAGAAGTTGAGTTTAGCTGATTTATGTCTACCGAAACAAAACAATTCATCTAATATATATCAAGTAAGTTGTTCGTTTATTCCTATATTGTATAAATACATTTTTAATGGATTTGACATGATATTATTCCAGCTTTTTATTAGTAGAATAGAAATAATGAATTAACCGTGTATTCTACATGTTTTCAGTTATCTAAGTAGACTAATGTGCTTGCTGAACTGTAAATTTCAACTTTTGCTGATTTTTATCGTTTTATTTAAGTATTTGCTAGAAGGAAAGAAACACTATCACTTTAGTGTGTTTTATAAGAAGTAAGCTGACTATTGAGTTGTGTTACGTTAAATGTATTTGATCTGACTGATGCTGAAAATGAGAAAAAAATCTCATGGCAGACAACAGTCAGATTAATCGAAGGTCTACAACTTTAAGGCGGCCTGCTTAAATCACTGGGCTACCAGAATTTCCATCCATCTGAGTGCTTAAACTCTTCTACACTTCTTATTGTTTTAATCGTTCACTTATGTAAGATGAGCAGTACATGAACTAGCGCGCGTATTTAATTAGTTTCCCAATATACACTGCAATTTCCGAAGGAATCGAGATAAAATGTACAGAATTGATTCACTTCTCATATACAGCAACATCACGACAAATGATGTACTTCAGATTATTGCTTTACATGTAAATTCTGTATGGAGAGGAAATATTTTAGAATTAAATATAGTGAAAATTTCTGTAATATATGTTCACATATTGTCTGAAATAAAGCTTTATTATTAAAAATATGCACTACAAATATTTACAATGATATCGTATTAACAGTTTATGTAAGAATCAAGGGTGCTGCAAGGGCGTACTACATTTAAAAACAATCAGCTGGAAATATATCTCCCTTTATTTATCTCACATAGATCTATACATTTTTGTAATATGGCTTATTATTCCTGTCTGGTTATCTGAGTCTGATATGAAAACAACTGATCAAAACTAATTTGAAACTAATCTGATTTAATTTTCATCATTTTATAACGATGTGAATTCACCGGTTGGATAGTAATCTTTGATTTATCTCTTAAATTTCTACTCCTTGTCATCAATAATTATTCAATTACCTTGTTAACATAAAAAAGATACTTTGTAATTATTTTTATTTTGTGTATAATTTCGTGAAAAAATGAATAAAGAGGACAGTACAAAGTATTTTGTATCTTACATCTAATTATAATAATAATATATAATAATAAAGCTTTATTTCAGACAATATGAAAACATATGGTACAAAATTTTCAGCGTATTTAGTTCCAAAATACTTTTTTCTTCATACAGGATTTACATGTAAAGTAATAATCTGAAGTATATCTTCATTTCGTTGAAGAATTGCACAGCGTTTACTTGGAAGCAAGTTAAATCAGCGCGCAAGTTCATGTATAGGTCATCTGATATAACTGAACGATTAAAACAACGATAAATCCAGATGAAATTAAGCATTTTGTTGGAAAGCAACTCCGGTAGGCCAGTGATTTAAGCAGGCCGCCTTATTTGGTCTTTTTCATATTATTGTTGTTATTATGCTCCATTGTGAAGCATTATATTTTAGTGTGATGCTTTGCAGTTTACCTTACTTGTATTAACCCTTCTGGGAGTTGGATATCGGTGGTAGACTTCTTTGTTATGGAATATTTCCTATTCACCATTTCATCTGTGGCTGTGTGAAATAAGACTTCCATGTACGCTTCTGTCTACTTTTGAATATTCCTTTATTAGTGCGTAATCATCTAGTCATTTTTCTGTTATGTCTGATGGAACTGAAGAAGAAATTCACTGACAATTTTTGAAACAGAAGCGTTAAAATAGCTTTTTATTTTGTAGTTCTCATGCAGTTTGTGTATTTCAATGCAATAAGGCAGTTCGAAATGAGCAATAAATTGTTCTGGAAACATCATCAGTAAATATTACTGTATAACTCTGTGAGACTTTATCAAAATAAATTTTACCCAAAATGGAATTATGCTCTACCACAGTGCACAAGTTCTATTCTTATATCAAGGCAGTTCGGGAATTATGTGTAAGGCCTCAAACTTATTTTAGATGTGTGTTTGTATGTAGCTACTAGCCATCGTTTTGATAAAAGCATTCTCTTGTTAAATGAACAGTATTATGCACTTCAGTTCCTACCGTTCCACCAAGTGATTGCTAGGGAGTAACCAGTTGCATACTGTTCAGTGTGTAGTGGTGACAGAATTCTCTGAGGGAATTTTACAATACGGTTATCTAGCAGCTACTATACTGATTTGTGTTTCATAAAAGAAGAGTAGATACAGGAAATCTTACCTAATTCAGTGTTAGTCTAAAGACCAACTTGTGGCTTCACATGAAAGTGCGTCATCTTAAAATATGTCGATATTCCAACTTTGAAATCCTAAGAGTAATACTATATATAGTTCTTAGCTCTTATGTTAATTTTGATTTCATTGAAATAAACAGCGTGCTTTTTCAAATAACATATTGGATGGTCTTACTGAAACTGAATATTACTCTTTTTTCCAATGAAGTATAACTATGCTAACGGGATGATGATGATATCATAATTCCCTTTTGTCAACACCTAATCTGTTTCAGTCGGGAAAATTCTCTTTTGCGATGATTTCATTTTCACAGCTGTACAGTGTACAGTTTATATGAATCTCTTCTAATATCTCATTGCAAAATATTAAAACTAATCTGTATGAGGATTTAGTGGTGGAATGCTCGCCAAACATGCACATGATGCGGAACTGATTCCCAGCCAACGCATTCCTAAACCACTCCTAACCATCAGTAATTCGGTGGGTAGAGAAGGAACGTTAGGTGTGAGGCTAGCAACCTCACCCGTGAGAACAATAACAGCACAACTACCGAAACTTCAAACCTCAAGCTTGAAGCCTTATGTTCCATTCGGAACGCAGAAGAATGAAAAAAATCTATGTATGAATGAGTTGTAACAATTTGTTTTCAGGGCAATCCCTGTTGTAATATTTTGTCTTTCTTAAAGGCAACGATTTAGTTCAGATTAGCGAGTTGGTGAATCCCTATTTAATTTTTCTAAAAATTTAAATGTACTGATGTGATGACAGGAAAATTTGTAAAAAAATTCTATTTCTCTGCTGATTGCTGTAAAACGGCCTTCGGCCCATAACAAAAATGTAGCTGTTGCTAGACTTAATTATTTCTTTATTTAATGCTTACATACCGTATTTCCAACCTATTCTCTTTCTAATGCATATAATGTCACTAACAACATGTGCCTATATTTTTATGTTATCTGGGTTTACCGTATTTTCCTTCCCACTGATCGATAAAACCTGAGTGTCTACCATTTTTATTCTCTGTAATCTAATTGGCTAATATTAATTAGGCTTCAGTACTTTCATTATGACTCATCTTGTTTTTCTCCTGTCTGTGTCCATTAGACAATCCATATGCGAAACGTTTGTCAGGCATTAAATTTACAAATTTTGCTTTTTTGTTTTAAAGACACGTTATATTCCACAAAAAGAGAATGAGGTTTCTACTGGAAGATATCAGCTTTTTTTACAGCTTTACTAATATAACCAAAATCTCTGTCTTGCTGCTTGTAAAAATGTGTCATGAAGTGAATATCTCTCTCTATATTTTTTTCTCGTTAACATAATGCACAGTAGTAGTTATGTTGGTGAACTTCACTTTCATTCTGCTTCATTTATGTCCCACCTGAGAAACCGGTTAGTATCACACAAATTTTCAGACAAATTGTGACTCATAGTCTACTGCATGAAAAACAGTTTCATTGTTATTATACCAACAGGAAACTTGAGCATATAAAGCTAAGACAACTACGACTTTTCATATTGCCCATTATAGTCCGTGAAATATTTATACAGAGATCATGAAGGTAGTTTGTGAGCGGTATATCAGAGTAATGTGTACGAAATATAGCAGTCAGGAAACATCTTATATTTTCTAAAGACTGTCTTTATACAGTTTTTTTATGTTGCTGTCTTGAGCTACATATTACTGGCTAGGACATGTGATACGTACGCCCAGTCTTCGCCTTCCTCGACAGGCAATGTTAACTGACATAGGAGGTGTAGGTTGCCTAGTTAGGGTCCTTGGGATGCTAAGGACCAATAAATACTTGGAAACATTTGGTAATCGTTCTCAATGGCGCAGATGCATTCACTTTCAGTGAGCTTCCATATCCAATGGACCCTATTGTTTTCCCATTTACTATTCTTTCTCCCTTACATTTCTGCTTATTATCGTTCTTTTGAGTTTCTTTTTTCCTCTGTTTTGTCTTCCTTCGTGTGGTAACTCGAACTGCTGCACTTCTGTGTAAAGTTCTGTGTTGAAACCAGTCTGTCAGTCAGTCAGTTAGACTGTTACAAAAGTAAACTACCTAATATTATGCTTAGATAATTTACACTTTTGATAATTTTATGACTGAATCCATTAGATAACGAACTAATAAAGTACAGATGTAAAAAGTAACTGTACTTAGTAATTCAACGAATAAAGTAATAACACCTACCAAATTGTTTGCTTATGGTTTACAAACGAAACATTCTTTTTTATTATTGATAACCATGTCACAATTTAAGGCTGTGTTCACAACGATGATTTAACTTTTGAACTCTTTTTGTGATGCTCTGTCTAAGGAAAGTAATCAGAACATTTAACGTTTGTGTGAATTCAGTATACAAGCATACCACCGATAGTCATCACAAAATCAATACATTATTGAAGATCCAAACGCCCGTAATTTCTATAGAATCATAAAGGTTACTTCCTAGATGAAAGTTAACCTGATATTATTTTGGATTGTTCCTTCCAACTTTTTCTTTTACTTCCGTTACAATTATCCGTTTATCATTCAGTTTTAGACAGACTCTATGGATTTATGAAAAAAAAACAACAGCTTGTGTTGTATATTGATCAGAATTGGTTTATATAGCTCATATATGATTCTCTTACTCTAAGTGGATAAAGTAACTGATAGAAGTGTTTTCAAAATCAGCTCTATATGTATAAGAAAATGTTTCATATATAACGAATGGTGTATTATAGTTAACTATGATGGGGGTAGAAATAATATACTTTTTTCGAAGTAGGTAAGCTCAAAGATCACCTAGTGAATCATCGTCAGACTGAATGAGTTTTCCGGTAGGAATAAATAATAGATGTCGCTTTAAGGATCGTACTACTGCTTAATTTCAGCATTCATTGACCCAAATATGGAATAGTGTTTGGTTGAGACAAGAGTAAATTGACATTAAGACTATTTGGGATAACAGAAGGGTTCGGCAGCATAGTTGACAGAGAACTGAGCCTCAGATTCGAATCCTGTTGTAGCCCAGGCTTTCAATTACACTCTCGGTCATCACCCATTACAAGACAAATTCTTATTTCAAGGGTTGATTTTAAAGGATTTAATTTATTTCGATTCCTGGTAAGGGTCATGGGTGCCTACTGATAAAGAGTCCCAAAGTAGGACGAAACAGCCGTCCATTACTCTTTGGTTTTCAATGGGTTCTTTATCTGACTTCAGTCAGTTCGTGATCAGAATTAAAATTCTCATTTAGTATTCCTAGTTGAATTCTTTATAGGCATGAGTTTGTCATTGTTTGTATAAGAGAAGGTAACATTTACCACTTTATATATATAAAAGACCATCTTCAGATTCAATTTTCCTTTATGTGGGACTATATTTCCCTTCACTGTGTAATTCGCACTTACAATTTATATAAAAGTACACTGATATTCATATGATACAAATGCGTTTGTGTCAGTGCTAATGCTGTCATTATTTTTCCTTAGAAAAAAAAGATTGTTCATAGACAGTGTGTACACGTGAGTTACAAGTGAATATAATGGTGCACATTTCAGTTGAATAGTGCATTAACTTGACTTCTTTTTTCTAGTGCTTTACGGTTAAACATGTTTGTGTTTAGGAAATAAAATCCTTCGCCTATATGTAGCATAAAAATTCTAATGGGAAACCATATTTTATTCTTATGTGAATACTCACAGAAATCAGAAGCGGAAGAAAATGAGATGAAATAGAACGGATTCAGTTTAGCAATGTAAGCATGTGTGTTTCCTGTATCAACCATAGTATTCAAGTGGAATATTGAGGTAAAAACAGGGTGGGTAGGTGCTGTCTACATTTGTCTTTATGTAGACTTCGTATAAATCGACTTCTAACTGGGGCGATATACCCTAACATGGTAAGTGGCTGTTCGTTTTCATATCAGAATTTACCTATGTGAGAAGACGGTACTCTCACTTTGTGATATTGGTCTGATATCTACTGTAGTTTCCTATAAAATCATCTAAAATTCATTGCGTAATCAAATTTTTAAGGAAATACTATGTTTCTCAGTTTCACTAGGTCTTCATGTTTCTCTGTGTAATTATCCTTCTTGCCGTACATTTTCATCCCATTATAGTTCTTTTAAATTTTTTCCTCTATCTTTGCGTGCTATATGGAGTGTGGCAACTTGAACTCTGGTACACTTCTGTGTGAAGTTCTACGTTGAAAAGTCAGTCAGTCATATTGAAACGGTAGCAGACGAAGACTTGGTAAAGGAATGTTTGTTTGGAAATTGGTATCTCTGTATAGCCAAATTATGTATACCTTATCTTCAACGCAGCACCATTTGCACAGATCTTCGTGTTGTGGTACTTCTGGACTTCATATTGTGTTTCTTTGTATTCCTTTCACGTCTCCCATGTATCTCCATACGCTGTATCGTTTGCCTTCTCTGATATCAACTGTATCTCCCTGCTATTTGATGTTTTTTATGCCGATGAATGTCTCTTTATGTACTACTGATAAATCTTATCAGTAGCACTCGCCACAATATGTCTTTAAATTGTCTTATTCTGAAAATAATACATGCTTGTCCATGCATTGAAATCGTCAGATGAGTTAGTTCATTCGAAGTATTCTGTTCATTTTACGCTTGATATTTATAGTTTAATATCACCAAATTACGTACATTTCTCTCTACACATATATCTTTTTTTTTGTTCTAAAGATTCAAGATACTGGTGATCAACCATACCTGGGTAAATGTATGTTTAGTCATAAACCAATCAACAGATCATCAATCAGTCATCTAACCAGTAAACAGTCATCTGAGGATTTTTCAACTTCGATAAAACAACATAGATATTCACTTGATCAACTTGTACAAAACAAAATGCATCCATCTATAGATTACAATAATGTATGTGTTCCTCAAGATGATGATTTGAAGTCAAATAAGCCAAAAAATGAAAATATTACACTTTTGTCTTCCACTCATGCTGTAAGTGTTCAGACGACCTTTTTTCTCTTATTCTCAATTCATAGTATACACTTATTGTCAAACTTTTTTGTTACTATATAAGTATTTGAAGCTGTTTCATACTAATGGGTGGAAATTTTGGTAGCTCAGGGATTTAAGCATGCAGTTGAATTGTTGAATTTATTTCTGTTAGTCTAACAATCAAACCAAACAATTCACTCTGAATAACCACATCATAAACTGTTTATTTTGTATACAGTGGAATTAAGGATTAAAAATGGATGAATTAGCAGAGGAACTTTGTTTATCTTCTATTTTCCCTTGATCCGTTCGCAAATTCCACTGTTATTTTTGTGTTTAAATCAAATGTTTAGCAGGATTGGTAAATTACTTAGTGTTAGGTGTTTCCAGGGTATCGGTGGGGAGCAGCGGACCTAGGTTTTGTGTTATTCGGCGCTCGCCAACATAACATACCCTCAGTCTTAAATGTACTGCTGCTCCATCGGGGACTCAGACCCCATGACGCCTTGTTCTGCAGTCGGAGATGTTACCATTGTCTAATAGCTTTTTTTCTACTTTAACCGGTTTCTTACTTTGTGTGTCTTCGGCTTCCACACGTACAATTATCTCGTTATTTTAGTTTTTTTTTCATACAGTTGGTTAGTACAAAGTTGAATATTTGAGTCTGATAGTACTCAAGTGGATTATTAATTTATCAACCAGATATTATTTCGTTCTTTCAAGGTTGTAGGATGATGGAAGGATTTCAGGATAACTAATCTGAACTCTAACAAGGTTGAAGAAAGTGTATTTCTGTATTCAGGGATTAAACAAAATAGCCACCGTGTGGTATACACTGTCATTCATTAATCGGTCGATATTAGTAAGAATGATTTCTTCGATATATAACGAGAGTTAAAAAAGCTTGGAGAATTCAATAGACCGTGAACATTTTTTACGGTTTATGTGGAAAATGCCAACACTCTAGACTTCTGTCTGCAACACTAATCGCCAGCACTTATTCTATGACAACTTTTCTTATTTAATGAAGAGACTTATTGTTCAGATATTCATTCGTAAAAGGGGATGAAAATGTCCTGTGGATAATAATAAGCAGTACTAAATACTGAGGCAGAAAAAAGACAACGCTCGTAGGAACTATAGGTTCGATATGCATGTTAAACTATGCCTATCAGAAATGAAACACAATATATCGAATATCATGAATTTTACTAAAGATGGTAAAATATGTTTGTGAAGACATCATGGCTACTTATTAAAAATATCAGTAGTTATATGTGCAGAATACAAACATTTAAGGTATGCTTGTATTAATAAAAAGTGAGGGATGTCTGCAATGGAAAGTAGTCAAAATTATGAAAGCTTATTTAAGCATAATAAAACTATGGATACGGAATGAATTATTTAGTTTTTTGTCCATAATTATACCAAATTATATTTCTTATAGAAATAACCACTCCTTAAAAATGAGCAATTCTTTTTGTCCTCTTGCAGTTCTACTCATTATCTTAAACCCCGCAACTCAATCATTTTCAGTTATAGTGTGTGAGGACAGCTTGTTGCATATGCATATGTACTCTAGTAGTATTTCCTCAGTAGTAAAGGAATGTGTTTTGTGTATTGTAATGATATAAGACTTTTATACTATTCTGTTATTCCTATTTAATATCACTTACACTATTCAGACTAGTGGTTAAACTATATTTTCTTTCCAAAATATTTTCTGTCCCATCAGATATCGCCAGTTAAAGTGAAACAAGAGTGTGGAAATGAGTCTACATATAACGAGGCTAATCACAGTAAGGCTTTTATTTTAAAAAATGTTATGCATTTTATATACACCACTTGTTTTTATATTTTTTTAGAATTTATTTCTACACTTAATTTTGTTATAGTATGGGGCTAGCTGTCACAGCATAAGTGTCATACCTTAGGAACCTGTGATTTCGATGAAAAGCACATTTGTTCATTGAGAACATCTGTAATATTTTCCTCTTTATATCTACGTATATAGAATTAAAGACGGTGTTAAAATTGACAATTTTCCGTCCTAAGTTTACAAGCAGCTGCTTTCGGTGTTATTAAAAATGTCGAATTCTCTGTTTGCAAGTTAGACAGTTCAAGGTGGGAATTTACTACAGTTACCTTCAAAAAAGCCTAAAATATACAGATCATGTTATATGATCTATTTGATACCATAAATGGCAATCAAGAAAGCAGGCATAATTGCATCATCATTTATATCACTTAGGGATATTAGTGGTTGGAAACCACTTGTATCAACCAGTACTGGTGTTTTGTGCTCATGATTTGGCTATCTGAATTGAATCAAACCGTGTACACCACTAATGAGTTCTGTCTCAAACTAGCGTAATGGTTGTCCTGTGTTTAGACCATCACATTCTGGGTAGTAGGGACTACTCATACCAATCAGTAGTATATATCGTCATTAAAATATATTAAAGTTTAAATGATATGCTTGACATTAAATAGGGAAGTACCTGTTAGGAGGAGAGGTATGTAGATGGGAATTTTCATGAACGTTCAATGAATAAAATTCATTGTGGAGGAAGAAGATCTATTCAAAGAAAAGGCTCTCTTCACTGGAAGGAATAATTGCTTTAGCGAATTATTCAGGTCATTAAATGAGATTTTAAAAAAGGTTATTGGATCTTAAATAGAAATCACTAATTGGAAATCACTACTGTAGCCAATTTCATTCTTAAATTATTTTGAATTTTGGTTGTGCTACTGAGTATTAGTAAGTAGCGTGAAGCGGTTTCGCAAAAACGTTTACACTCCTATAATACGTCATCATGCGATGACGAATGAGAAGCTATATTCATTGCTTCTGTATATCTGCTGATAATGTTGATGTAGGAGTTTCTTCTGTTAAGGCCACTAAACGCATGTCTATCTGTGTCTTAATTATTGGTAATCAGTATCAGCACCCAACCTCGTAGTTTATAGCTCGCTAGTTTTCTAGCCTGTTCCAAGCCCGGGTAAAGAGGGAGGGTCGGGCGTGGGGCTAGCGACCCTACACCACAACAGCTATCAAACTGCTAGAGAAACTGCATCGTACAAAAAATACTAAAAATACAAAAAACATAAAGAACAAACTTATTCTTCACTGGAATGGGAGAGGCGAAATGATGCCGTGGGCTGGTGAAAGCCTTCGGGAAGCCAGTCAGCCAGCTGATGTGTCTTCTCTCGATGAAAGCCAAAATTAAGCATTAGGATGTGGAATGTTTGTTCATTCAACACGCTATATGACAATGCCACTTGTCAGGTGATCCACAACGGAAAACTCAGCGAGGCGTTCAAAGTGCATACATGAGTAAGACAAACTTGCTGCCTATTATCACCAATGATATTCTTAATTGTGGTGGACTGGATTATGCGTCAGACTGTGCGTGGGGAGTGAGAAGACAGGAATACGCCAGAGTGATAAGAATACTCTAGAAGATCTGGATTTTGCAGATGATATATATCTAATGTCACACAAACTCGAAGACTTGCAGGCGGAAACCAACAAACTGGCAGAAGAGGCTGGCAGGCAGCGAAGACAGGACTCCAGGTGAACATAGAGAAGACGAAGGTGATGAAGATAACCAACGAACCGCAACAACAATAACAACCAGCACCAATCACCATCAACGGGAAAGATGAGACAGAGGTTACCTCCTTCACTTATCTAGGAAGCATCGTTTCAACCACAGACGGAACAGATGAAGATGTCAGAGCCAGCCAGAATTGGAAAGGCAAGGTACACCTTCAACACTCTGAAATCAGTTTGGAAATCTTCTGCACTCAGCATAAGGGACAAGATTCGGATTTTCAACACCAGTGTCAAGTCGATCAGGGCTTCTATACGGGTCAGAAACTTGGCGTTTCACGAAAAGGATTTCCAACAGGCCACTGCAGACTTTCATCAACTGCTGCCTTCACTGGCTGCATACTAAAGATCAAATGGCTGGCTGGGCAGAAAGAATTAGCAACAAGAAACTCTTCAGTGGAACAAACCAACGGAGTAAGAGCCGATTGCTCAACAAATATGTAGGAGAAAATGGAGATGGATCGGGCATACGTTGAGGAGGCTGTCGAATGACATCGCGCTCCATGCAGGTAATTGCTCGAGTGGAATCCAAATGGGAAGCGACGAGTGGGTCGTCGGTGCGAGGAGGAGATGAGAGATTATGGTCAATCGCGAGCCCAGCTGAAGAGGATAACGGAGGATAGAAGAAAGTGAAGATGTGTTGTTGAAGCCTTCTGTTCAACTCGGAACCCAAGGGAGTAATAATAATAATAATAAATATCAGCACCCATCCTACCTCAAACTGTCAGACATAGTATTGTTGTTTACCAGTAAGTATTTGTTAAAGAATGCAGTTTCGCGTTGTTGATTCATCTGAACAGAATTCACCGGTTTCGCTGACACACAAGCTTCTTATATGGATACTTTTGCATTGCCTTGAGTTTCTTTATGGCGTCATATTTCTTTTAGTTATGGAATCCACTATTTACCATTGTCAAACAATTAATGTGTAGTCAGTTGTATTAACTGATCTGTCACGATAATGATTATTATATTTCAAAAGATGTGAAGAACATTTCCAAATGTTGTTTAAAGTGAATATTTTTCTTTTCTTGAGTATGGTATAACTTACAAAATTCATAGATTTTTCTCTCCTGATAATTTTGTACAAATATATAGCAGTGTAAAATAATGTAATTTTTTCTCTCTGCTTCCTACCGGTTTTGGATAACTTGAATTTTACCAGATTTATTAGAATTTAGAAGGGTTGATGAAGTGTCGTGAGGCAAAACTCTAAAATAATGAAATATTAAGTGAAGTAAATTTGAGAATGCGATAACTAAGAACTGTAGGTGACAATTTCTATCTGATTACAACAAAATGACAATTATAGGTTTACGAAGAGAACATGTCATACTGCCAAAGATTTAAGAGAAAAAAGTTGCTAGGCAGATAAGGAATTACTCATGCATCTGACTAAAAATGATGGCAACAAAAATATCTCTGCAAATAAGAAAGTTAGGAGAATCAGATAGCGTCATCAGAATAAAATGTAGTCACCAGGATAAATCAATATCAATCACAGCCATTTATATATGTAGAAGTTAGCTTAGAAATGCTGCATGTGGACGGGGACTTCAGAAGAATGTATTTAAGCAGTCAGTCTTTTTCCATTTATTATCCTGATGACTGAGGAAATTCTCCCTACATTAAAATCAGGTCCATTATTTCCTTCCGAACATGTCTTTTGGCACACGCTCAAAAATTGGATTAGTTAACCTTCCTTTGGCGCTTCGTATCTACATACTTAAAAAAATTTTTATTCCTTTACGTTCCCAGTGGAACATAGGGCTTCAAGCTAGAGCTTTGAAGTTTCTGTAGCGGTGGTGTTTATTTTTACGGACGGGGTTGCTAGCCTCATGCCCAACCTTCCGTTTTTACCAGTCTTATTCTGGCTTATCGAGGTAAAGGAGTGCGTCAGTCGGGGATCGAATCCCGGACCACATGCGTGGTTGGCGAGCATTCTACCGCTGTGCCACCGACGCATAATTTACATACGTATAATTAGAGGTAATATAAAAAGAATACCTGCCTTCTTTAAATTGAGTTAGTGAGCAAGCTGTCTACAGCTGATGAGATGTCACTGTGTAAGATAGTGTGCAAACGTATTCGTTCTTGATATTTTAATTCACTGTCTAAATTACAGTGTTTAACTTAATTTTCAGATCAGTTGATTCGACCGAATTCTGCACCTGATCGTTCTGTTGTCATTCCATCTCCAGTAAATGCATTTCACTCTGATAAATTACATAAATTTTCAACTGCTGATAAATCTGTTAACAATGAAAAGTCGGTAAGTGATGCTAAACGGTTTGTATATTTAAGCATTTGTTTAAGAGATATTATTGTTTTGTTGTTATTGTGTTCATTGAACAACTGGGCTACAATTCTCTCATTGTTATTCTAGAAAATATCTTTAGTACTAACTTTGTAGACGGCCAACCATATTCAAGTTCTTTAGAAATACAAGTTATTTCATGCATCGAGAATTCCAGAGCTTCATTTTATTTTGGAGGTAGTGCTGTTGATGTTGTTTAGTAAAGCTACAAAAGCTTAGCAATTAAACTATTCATCTCGGAGGATATAAGACATCCACTTGGACTACATATTTTCTCTCTTATTTCATGATGTAACTTTCTGTTTTAATCTAAAAATATTGTAAAGAATACTGTTGGATATTTAAATGTTTAATTTCTTGTTAATGCCACTATGTTTTTTTGTATTGGATAAGACAAGAAGTCTGCAACTATTGTTTGTCTTAGTTGTATCTTACACTCTCATATATGGTTCTTCAAAAGTCTGTCAGTTAATCCAATAAATTATGGAAGTGTGTCCCATCTTGTAATTTATTTTGTGGACAAACCTCTTGAGAGTCTAAAGTAACATCAACAATGGTCATTGTCATTTGTTTTCTCAATATTTTATGTCTACACGTTAAATTCTTTTTGGTGCAATATATTGGAGGAAATCGACAGCAGTTCTTCACTTACATTGAGTTCATAAACTACATAATACAGTCTCGTTCTGTGTTTTGAAGTTTCTGTAGTGGTTGGATGGATTTTCCAGGATAGGGTTACTAGTTCTACGTCCAACCTTCCCTCTTTTTCCGGGTTTAGGATCGGCTAATAGACTAGGCGACGAACCAACCAAAAACCTGTTCCTCGACAAATACGCATAAGGAAATGGGTTGGGAATACACTTAGGAAACCACTGAGTGACATTACGTGTCATACATACCTTCGGGTAGAACCCGAAAAGGAAGCGATGAGTTGATCATGTGAGGGTGACATGGAGGAGATCGTGTAAGGAGAATATCAAAACCAGTGGGAAATCGTGGGACCAAGTAGAAATGACTACAGAGGATAGAGGGAAAAAGCGGTTTGCTACTGAAGCCGTATGTTCCACTGGGAACCCAGGGAAATAAAAGCCAGCGTAGACGAATCCTTCTCCATAATATACCGGGTGCCTAACAAACTACCAAAATCGTCGAAGCACCGCTTACTCCAAACAGCAGAGGCTATTGCAATTCGCCTCAAACAACCAGCGCTCTGTGTTCAAAAGAAACAAGTCCAGCCCCTACTACTGCCCTGGCCCTCAGTAGAGACTATAAACTCATGAATTTGTACCATTACTTTTCCTAATTCTTCTGACATTCAGTTTATTTGATGTTGATGCTGTTCAGCTGTAATTTATCAATATTATTGATTTGATGTTATTTAAACAACATTAATGTCGTTCATAAGACTAATTCATTCATTCATTATAATGTATATATAATTGTAGAACCTGATGATGAATTTATCGAAAAGAGTTCTCTTTGTTCCGTGTCTATTCTTTTGAAAATTTTAATGGGCATTTTTAATCAAATAAAAATGATATAGTTTTATCCAATAATGATGTGAATAATATTCTGGCTTCTAGGACTAATAAGAGTATTGGTTTTATTCTGATCTCCGATTATTATTATTATTGTTTTGCTTCGCATTTATCTATCTTAACACTTTGTAACAGTTCAATCTCAAATGCCTATCCCCATCCTTTATCACAGACACTGTACACACACGCATGCACACTTACATCTAATTTAAATATTTAAATATATTATGATAATTAAAGAAAACAGTTTATTAAGCAAATACGTGTTTTCAGTAATTTCTTATCAGACTTTACAATTACATAATGAAATTATTCAGTATACACATTTGATATCATTGTGGTTGATGGAATCAAAGTTCAAGTTTATGAAATGGTGGATGATAATCGAAATGATTCAGCGAAGATAATCTTTTCAAGCAATTTATTATCATGCTGTACAATCATACATATACATATATATATATGATTGCAACAATTGTACAACCTGATTATAAATTCGTTGAAAAGAGTCTCTTTGTTGAATCACTTGTTTTCATTCTCTACATATCCTAATGAGAATTTTTCATGCACAATCAAAGTGATCATAATAATAGTAACAACAATGAAATCGGAAAATGAACAAGGAGAATTAGCTATGTCAGATTGTAAAATAAAACGAACAGAAGAAGGTAAACTGCACACTAGCGTTTATAAAAAGCCAACGCATTCTAATAGATATTTAGACTTTAATTCATCTCATCTGTTATCTGTAAAGGCAGGCTTTGTTAAGTATCTAACAAACCTAGAAATAGCACTAAGTAGTATAACAAAAAACCTAAATGATGAAATGAAACAGATAGAAGAGGCGTTGGTGTTAAACAACTATCCTATAAGATTCATTAGGAATATCAAAAAAGGTCAAAAGCAAAATAAAAATAATGGTGAAACTAATAATGATAACATAAATAAGAAAGAATATAAGGCATTTACAGTGGTTTTACCATATAAGGAGGGGACATCTGAGACCTTACGTAGGATTCTCAATAAAGCAGGAATTAGAGTGGTATTTAAACCTACAAACTCACTCAGGTAGGACAAGCTCTGCAGGCTAAAGGACCCGGTGGACCCAATTAAACAAAATAATATAATTTACAAAATACGTTGCAATGACTGTGAGTGAGGTCAACTACATAGGTTAAACTAGTAGATCAGGAGTAGTGAAATTATCAGAACATAAGAATTTAGCTAAGGTTAGAATGATTGACCCCACGAAGATAAGTGATTTAGAAAAAAACTCAGCAATCACACTACATGCATTAACAACAACCACACAATAAGGTGGGGGAGGGTTAAGATTCCAAGAAGTAATATAGGTAGGTGCAGACAGAGATTGATTACTGAATCCTGGTTCATCGAGTCTACACCCAAATATGCAATAGAAGTGACTCAACGCAAATACCAGAGATATGGAAGATATTATTACCAGTCAAATCAGAGGATAATAAATAATGTTAAAATGTATTCAATTCACATTATAACATTCTAACAAGTTATTTATTTTACTATAAAAACATCTTATTCCCCATCTTATTGTATTTTATTGATAACACTAATATTATTTCCGAATGTACTTTATCTTACATTGATTTTATTCAAATGTCTAATCATCAATTTTTACTCATATATATAAACGAAGCAAGAAAGTTATTTGAGTGAGTATCTTGATATGATTATGAGTAGTAATAATTTGTGCTCGAAACGTGGTCATCACTGTGTGATTTTATCAAAATAAAATTTTATCCATAATGGAATCCATGCAAGTGTTTATATATAATCTAGGTAGACAATCATTGTGAATATGTAGTATAATATACATATATTTTTAGGGGTAGAAAAGAAAAATAACTGTCGTATCATTACAATTAGCTAATAGAGTATTCAGTTTGATAATAAATTGTGAAACTATGATTAAAATATACAATTATAACAAAGCATAATGATGATAATAAAAATAATAGTACAAATAAAGAAAATATTTACAGTTATCCTGTGTCATGGGGATATAAAACTATTCTAATTGTTATTCAAGTATTGGTATTCTAATTGTATCTAGGTTGAAGGTGAAGGTCATGGAAGAGACAGGAACTAGATAAACTTTCTCTGAATACATTGATTAGACTGAAAATTTATGATAGCAACTACTTCAGCTATGCTTTGCAATCAATGACGTGTAAACTTGGTAGAATCGACTTGACACATTGTATTTCCATTAATCTTATGTTCCTTATTCACTACGACGACAAATGTTCATCTATATTTCATAATTGATACGGGAATTGGTTTCATCTCTTAGATATTTTAATCATTCTCTTAGTTTTATTAATATAAGCTGGGGGTTCGAATCAAATTGTTAGAAAACAGATTTTTTATATTCAGCCACTTGGCCTCCAATTCAACAATGACCTATGAGTTCTAGCTTCTATCAATTCGTGATGTAGCGCTAACTCCAACCAACCCCTTTAATGAGCAGCTCCTGCAGCTTGACATGGTGGACGCTACTGGCCACAACTTCGCAGTACAGCTTCAGAACATCCATCCAGTAACTATCAGTGAGCTGGAGATTAATATTTAGTTAATGGGTTTTTTGTAGGGATTTAAATTATTATCAGAAGTTAGAATTCTTGAGTCAGTGAATTCCCATCCAAGTGGCTGAATATAAAAATCTATTTACTAATAAGTTTATGTGGATCTCCAGTTTATATTAAACAAAATTAAGAGTATCATTGAAATGATTGGAAGATGAAGCCAATTCCTGTATAAATTATGAAATATAGGTGAACATTAGCCACTCTAGGGGATACGGAAAATAGGATTAATAAAAATACAGCTCTCACCATTCTATACTATGTGCCAGCTCTATTCTACCAGGTTTGTGCTCCATCGATTACTAAGGATAGGTGAGTTTGTAGCTATCAACAATTTTCAGAATTTGTCAAATTCCTCTCCTTTCCATAGACTCCAGACCAAGTAGCTGAATGGTCCACCAATTTGGCTTCATAACCTGAAGGTCCCGGATTCGACTCCTGATGGTGTCGTGGGTGCGCACTGCTAAAGAGCTCTTACCTAGGACGAAACAGTTGTCCACTGCTTCCTGGTTTCTAGTGTTCTCTAATTGATGGATTGGTTCTTGGGCAAATCTACACTGAAAATAATAACCCGAATCCCTACAAAATCCCATAAATTAAATATTTTTATATCCCATAGCGTGTATTATTCCCCTAATCACAGAGTATTATTGACATTAAGTAAACTTAATGCACATGTATGCTTATTACTTACAGTAGACTAGTCGAGTAGAAAACTGTTGACTGCATTACATTTCGACTACTAATTGTTTCGATTAGGCGTTACCAAAATTTATTGTCAGGTGTGTTTCGCTATGGTTCTTCTTTGTCTAAAAATATAACTACCTATTGGTTGGGAAAAAAAATTTGTCATGTGTTTACTAATATACGAATAAACATACAGCAATCACCTATTCGTGAATGCATATATATATATATATATGATATGTATATATGCTTTTATTACTCTACCTGTTTATCTGAGTGTATTACTTATTCTTCTCAATTGTACTTAGGGTGTGTTGAGCTATTCTCTTTTCTCTTGACTTTCTTGATTGTGAGTAATTGTTTTTTTTCAAAAAGATATTTATCATTTTTATTATGTTTTTTTTTTTGTGAAAATATATTCACATACTACTTGCTTATGTATATACACCTAGAATTGTGGTAGCCTATCGGAATTAAATTTCCACTTACAATTATTTTCATTGGTCTCTTTTACCCCCTTTTATTGTATTCAATTCATATTCGAATTGCCTAGTCTGAATTATTAATGAAGAAGAAAGAAAACGTGGAATTAATAGCAGGAGAAGGTGGCAAAAGTGAAGGCGACAAAGTCGAAGTAAAGGAAATCAAAAAGTCATCATCACAGACAAAAGATAAACCTTCCTCCTATGAACCATTTAATAAATATTTGGATATAAAACAAGTTCAACTGGCATTATCAAAGCTACAGGTAGGTTAGAGTTGATTTCTTTTCTTATTTTCAAAAATATATATATTATTGAGTGTATTATATTATTATTATACTTGGGTTCGATAATTCATTGTCATTTTCGGACTTTTATTATTTATAGGACATGTTAAGGTTTACTGATTGATTAAAAGTCTCGAGGTTTAGAAATGTGATTTAATACACACACATGCTTTTATAATATTTTTGCTTATTTAATGCAATAATTGTTAGTTGGAAAAGTTCAGGGATAGGTTTTTGTTTTTACTCAATACTACCTACCAGTTCTTTCTCGAACAATATTTACTCTATTGGAATATTATTGTTGTTAACAACTTAGGAGTTAGCAGGCGCATAATAAATAGGAACCTTCTTGGTTGTTACTTCGAGTAATACTACTGTACTCATCAACTTGGACTTTGGAACTCCTAAGATCACTTTGTAACAACAGAAGGCAAGACACGGAAGCCAAAGTATTGAACTGTGAGAATAACACTCCGACTCTAACATCAAAATGGAATGTTCAAATAGATATTTCGTATTCTGTTGCTAATGCCGAATTGAACTGTAGGAACATGTGAGAATAACACTCAGTTGGCACACATTGTCTGTATCACACACCACCACAACTTTAGTTGTAGACACAAGTTTATTCCTACTTCCCAGTACTTATGAAAATGGAAGAAGCAATCAGTGAAATCATCTTTGTTTCATTGATTTGTTTGGGTGTGAATACATGATAAGTCGTTTTTAACTTGATAACAAGTATCAACAGTTTACCTTATGGGAACATCATCAGTCACTGGAGGATGCAGGCACATCCAGATGACGAGTCCCAAATAGGACGAAATGTGCATCCTGGATCCCACTGCTAGTCACCATCCACCAATTAAATTTTAACTTCATATCATTGTGAAAGTAACAGTAATACTTATAGCACTACGTAAAAATAATGAACATCACTGGTTGATAACTAGTAGGTTTTAAAAACATTTCATAATACACCACTGTGATGTATACCCCTAGTTTTGCTTAGTTTTTGCAGTTATCGCGCATTCATGGAGCCTTTTATCAAGACTGGACTTATTGATTTCTAGATTTTTAGATTTATGTATGAATTTACTACCTGTCAACGTCATTTAAGTCCTATATAATATTCAACATCGCTTTCAAATGTTTTGACTGTTGTTTTAGACAGTAGAAACTCTCTTGTCAACGATCCGTCTTCTCTCCCGTTTCCGCAGACTGGTAGTGATATTGTTTTTATCTTTGTGTTTGTCGTTGTGGTTAGCGGTTAGAGTAGTTTTCGTTGGCTCATTGGATTCCTATTGCTGGCAGTCTACTAAGTCCTATTACAGGTTATATATATATATATATATATTCTGTTTTCAGTCTAATATGTAATATCATACACTTAAGGGTATAATTAAGTCCGTCTTTATTGATTTGAATATTCACATGAAATGTTAGTAATTGAAAACTGTCAATTAACTGCTATTAGGAAAATGGGTATACAATATTCTAGTGTATTTATGAATCCATAACTTTATAGGGAAAATTAGAAAACTCCCACATTTCATTATATTTCATCCCCTTGTTTTATGTCTTTATCATGAATTCAGCGTCGGTGGTCAGATCGCCAACCACGAGAGTTTTCCGGGATTTGATCTCCGGCCGATGCATTCCTAGACTTCGCTTAGCCGGTAGTAAGACTGATAAAAAGGGAAAATTGGTCGTGAGGTTAAACAGTCCAACCCCGTAAAAAATAATCACCATTGCTATTAGAACTTCAAAACTCAAGCTTGAAGCCCTATGTTCCACTCGGAACGCACAGGGATGAATTAATAAAGATCCAGGTAAAATCATGAATTAAAATCATCATAAGATGACCGGAGGCTTCTGTTGCATTGTTTAACCTTAGTTTTCACAATGAAATCGGCTCCATGACTTTTTAGGTCTTGTAATCTAGAATTTTCGGAATTCTTTCTTCAAGTGAATTTTAGACAGTTATATAAAATTTCGTTTTACCAATCAATTCATTAGGGTCTACGGAATTAATTCATACCTTGTACACTCTTGGGTTAGTTGAAGAAGTTATTTCTAGTCGGTGGATTATATCGACGTTTCAGAAACTAAAATACTGGAAATCACTTGGCAGTATTTAAAAAAACAAAAAAACTTTTAGGTCATACGGGGTCAAGCTAAAAATAAACAAACAAATAAAAAAAAGAAGGATGGCTAAAAAGGTGTTTCACTATATTTACTACTGAAAAGTATTGAACTTGAGTAAAATTAAGTCATTTAATAAACATTTATATTTTTAGAGGTTTTAAAAATAAATGCGCTGACTATATAATGAACTGTAAGGTCATTAGGCGTAGAATAGAATATTACAAATGAAGATTATTAATGAGTATGTTATGAATCATGGATTCAAAATGATCAACGAAATTAACCTTTGAAAGTGTGTCTGACACACCTTTACTAGTTGAAAATAATATCATTAGTGTCAATTCGTGTGAATAGCTTCTCAAATGTGAATTACTAATTGCTAAGGAAGCACAATGAAGTGAAGAAACATAATCACTACTCATTTTTATTACAGGCTACTTTTAAGTATTGAAAAAAAACTTATATTCACGAGTTGATCTGCATATTGTTAGATAGTTAGAGACGAGCAGTATAAATTCCTGGACTTAGGTTTCGTGTTTATTGACAATCGTCAGTATGTCGTATCTGAAACTGTGCAGAAACTGATATCCCCTCGGATATTCGTAACCTTATCGTCTAGTGATGCAGTCAGAGGCGTTACTACTAAACTATTTTATCCATCGTTGATGAGTACCAATAAGCACGAAATCTAGGTCTACGATATCTCACTGATTATCTTCGAACACCTAAGATCAATTCAAACTGCACCTTATTGGCGAGTCTCCTAGCTTGATGAGTGATAGTATTCAATCAGGACCAAGACTTATAGCTAGAAACATGACACTGATTACACCTTATTGACTAATCAATGTAAACACTGCAGTCCTACAGGAGTTCAATCGCGGGACCTAATAACTCAGTAGTAACGTCTTTGACTCCAAAATTGAATAAACTCGTATCTCAAGATTGCAGATACGCCTTGCTGACGAATATGAACACTTATGAAACTTAGGTCCTCGGCTTCCTGCTAATCGCCTTCTACCATGTAGTAATAGTGTTTATTAGTTACAATTAACAGGTTTCTTTGTGACATTTCATTATGGGTTAAAGGACCCAGTTGACCCAATTAGACAAAATAATATAATTTACAAAATACCCTGCAATAACTGTGAGGTCAACTACATAGGTCAAACTAGTAGGTCAGGGGTAGTCAGATTGTCAGAACATAAGAATTTAGCTAAGGTAAGAATGGTTGACCCAGAGAAGATAAGTAATTTAGAAAAAAGCTCAGCAATTGCAATGCATTCATTAACACACAACACACCATAGGGTTTGAGAGGATTAGAATTCTAAAAAGTAATCTAGGTAGGTGGAGAGAGAGGTTGATTACTGAATCCTTGTTCATCGAATCTACAGCCAACACATGCAATAGGAATGATTCATCACTCATAGCCGAAATATGGAAAATATTACTAGCAATGAAATCAAGTGAAAAACAATGGAACTATATAAATGAATTTAGGAAGTCGTGTGATTACCTTGATATGATTATGAGCAATAAATTGTGCTCGAAACGTCATCAGTAAATATTACTGTATAACACTGTGAGACTCTATCAAAATAAAATTTACCCATAATGGAATTACACTGTACCACAGTGCACAAGTTTTATTCTTATTTCTTTGTGACATCATAGTAAATTAATATAACATTGAACCTTATCGAGTCTTGCGATCACCATTTATTTTCTGTCGATAGTTATAATTACATGACCTGTTCCTTCTCTTCTTTAATTCATTCGTATTGATCCAAGAAGAGACTAAGCAGAATTAAGTAACAAATTGTAGTGATATATTTGGAAATAAATGTTACTCATCTGCCATGTGATCATTTATCCACTTTTTAATGGACTACAGTTATTAAATGAGTGTTGAGAATACTATTTGTCCGTCTGAACTTAAGAAGGTGGTTAGGTCTATAAGCACTTGGCTCACTAGTTGAAACTCATTAGACCGATAAGCCACTGGTCCAATGCGGTTACATAAAAAGTTATGAATGGGCACTGAAAAAGGGTTATGAATTGATTGACAGTGGTGTTCTGATTGTTCACGTTAACAAAATTATCTAGAAAAAAGGTTTGGTTAAGGAGTTTCCAAAAACTGCGTTATTTAAAATGAAGCGTCATTATTATCTGCACATAGTAAGAGGCAATCTAAGTAAATTATACAAGATTATGACGGCTGACGTTATCCAAAGTCCATGAGTCACTTACAGGGGATTTATGAGCTAATAAGTAGCAGTTTCATACAAACATTCCTCATTTGACCACATCATGTCACAGTACACCAGAATTAATTGCATTTACACACAAACTCCCGACTAGGGATAAATGATGGTTAAAGCAGGTATAAGCCGATTGTAGATGACTTAAATGATCATAACGTGCATAATATTGCTCAACAAAGTAGGAAGTCGAAATCTTTTTTTGACCAAGAGATCATTATTACCGTGATTAATTGTGATGTTATTCAGCATTTCCGTGATGTTGTGGTTGGTTGGACCTTTAACATTAACTGTTATGTCAGTATATATACGACATCATTTTGTAAGCATAAATAACAAGAAGACAATATTCTTTTTTACCATTTAGTTTTAATCCCATCTGAACTTTTTATTCTAAAAGTAAACAGGCAACTGTCAGTAAGTAATACAGCATTTTTAATAGTCAATTGGAGAGAGAAGACTTTGTGCTCAGTATTTACATTGGCGTCTATGATATAACAGATTTTATTGACAGGTTCTTCCCAATTCCATCTAAAGTTCAATTTTAGTTCTCTTCCTATTATTATGAATATCGAGAAGAGAAAAGTTAAACAGGATGTGAGGTTTACTTGGGAGTCCAAAGTAGTAGCTATTACATTAAAAGATGCTTTTCGAAACGTATTTTTCTACCACTTTAAGGCACTTTATAATTGGTTAAAGTTTGTTTTATAGAAAAGTTTATAAGGGGAATATAAGTAATAACTTTGACCATACAAAAGTAAAACTAATGCTTCCAGGTAATAAAAAAACTATATAGAAAGTTTTTATAAGTCGTTACTTTTCGTTGCTCCGAATTATGTGAATCTTATATGCGTCGTAGTGTAATAAGCTTGTGGTTACCTCAACAGGACTTTAGTTTCTGAAAATGTTATGGAAATTCTATATAGTATTTTTTTAAGATTAGGGGAAGATTCGGTGTACCATGGTCATACGAGTAGAGCACAACTTGACCATCATTTTCCAAATAGTCAGTCGTTAAGTATACGCATTAAATGCAGTTACATTGACTGGTCACTAGAGAGTAAGCAGTGTCATGTTTGCAGTCCTGAGGACTGAGTTCCATCAGTCAAGTTTGCAATATGGTCATAAAGCTAGTAGACTTGTCTTAAGAGTATACTTTGAATTGATGTTAGGTTTTTCGAGGAAGTCGTTAAGCTACCGTTGACCTAGTTTTCGTGTTTACTGGTACTTCTACTAAGCCTTATTGGCAACCTAGAAGGAACTTATGCTCTCCTCGGAGATTCGAACGTGTGTCACTTAGGGTTGCAGTCGAAGATGTTGTCATTGGTTCATTCGTGCCAATAAGCACGAAACTTAGGTTCACGGTTTGCTATTGATTTCCTCCAACTACTCTAATAAGAATGCAATCTGTTAATAAAACTAAAGAAGTTGTTATGTCACCGAGTCTTTAGTTTTATAACCTCCTTAGATTTGCTCAGTTTTCATAGGGTAATTAACCTGAGATACATAACACTATATACTACTGATGGCTGGCTGGATTCAACATAGAACTTGGCACCGAAGTGCAGCAGTTCGAGTTGCCACGTTCCAAATAGCACAAAAAGTTGGACAAGAAAATGAGTGGAGAGAACCAATAGAGTTTTGACAAGTATAAAAGTGAAACAGAATGAGTAATGGTGGAAAGGAATATGAAAGATTAAAGAGACTGAATACATCTGCGCCATTGACAACGATTTTGAGCCATGTCACCTAATGTCTCCAGCCATTGATTCTTAGAGTCCTGAGGGCCCCAACCCGAAAGTCTGCATCTCCCTACCTGACTCAGTTTAACTGAGTCAGGTAGGGAGATGCAGACTACTGATTGATCGGCATGAGTAGTGGGACATCAATCACATCAACCAATAATCCTTGCTAACCAGATAGAAATGATCTAAAAACACTAAAATGAATATACTTCATTGTTAAGTCACTCTGCCTGATAGTTCCATTGTATTCTTTGGTCAATGGATTTACGTTAGCACTAAAAGCCTACACAATTATTTGATATTTGTATTGAACTTATTCCTATATATTTATTCATATGACTCAATGATTATGTGTTTTACCATACTTTCAAAGTCGAACTGAACTCCCTTTTCAGGTTCTTACAGTTATAAAATGTGTGCGTCGGTAGCATAGCGGTTAGGACGCTCGCCGACCATGCACATGGCCCGGGGTTCGATTTCCGGCCACAGACGCACTCCTTTACCTCGCTAAACCATAAATAAAGCTGGTGAAGAGGAAAGGTTGGGCATGAGGCTAGCAATCCCATGCTGTAAAAGCAAACACTGCTACAGAAACTTCAAGCCTCTAGCTTGAAGCCCTATGTTCAACTGGGAACCTGAAGGAATAAAAAAAACAGTTATAGAATGGAATTTTTTCCTGATAAAAATAGTCTGTCTGTGGTGAACTGAATGCAATTACAAAATTGTGGTTATCCTTTCACTCAATAACTCTAACCTCCCATTTTTCGACTAAGCAGTCTTAGTCATGATAATTTGAAATTTAAATTCTTCATCCTAACAGTTCTCACATATATCTTTTCTCCAATTTTTTTTACACACACCTATAGACTGATTTTAACGAACTACTCTGATTTATTATTAGCATTTACATAAATTTCGTTCCCTAATTATCATAATGGAAATATTTAAATTATTGTCAGTAATAAGATTTCTCCTCATGGTAGAATGTTCACTCCAGTCTTAGTATCGTTGGTTTAATGCATGATATCTTTGTGCTGTTTACTCATCAAGTGCATTCTACAACCTTGGACTAAGCTATCGATATTCTTTCCTCTCATTGTATGAATATATTATGACTAATCCTCATCATCATTATCGTCATTCATTTCACATTATTTTATAATTGCAGTCAGCTCACCTCGTTTGTCATACAAATACTATTTGTTGTTTTACCTTATCAGTTGAAACTTATTTGATTTGAAGCCTTTAATCGTATTCTACATTAAAGGAAATATTTCACCACGTACCTGGCTGTTATTATAAAGATAAATTTTACTTTATGAACTATCAGTAGGAACCTGAGAAGGGGAAATTATTGGAAAGAATATCCTTCGTTTAATCCGGCTTTTAATTCACAATATGGAGATGTTTCGAACTCTGAAATAGGATAATTTTACCCTGCAGCTTAGTGTTCATGTATATGATACTGGGTAGGACCGATAAATATTTAATTTCTTGATAATAGGATGAATTTTTAGACACATACCGAAAATTATGCTATAATTATTCATTTCAGATAAATTAAAATCTGTGATTTATATTACTTTTGTGTCTATTCTTTGAAAATTTGATGAGGTAATTAAATTCCATGTAGGCCACTGTTCACCATATAATAACTTACCTTTATTATTAGTGGTTAAATTTCAGACTACTTAATAACTTATCGGTAGTGTAAGAAAGAATAAAAAAGTAAACTGTTCTGTCAGGTGTTCAGTCTACATTAGTGTAATGTCTGAATAAATTGTTTATAAAAATATATTCCGCGTTTCTTGTTTTTAGTCGAGCAAACTCTATTTGTGCATTTAACATAATGGTTAATTGTTTTGTCAGTCGTATTTGTTGACATAAAGTCTACGAGCTTGCCTTGTCACCGGAAGGTCCTCGGTCCGAACCCAGGTGGGCGAGCGTACTGATAAAGAGTCCCAAACCAGGATGAAACAGCTGTCCAGTACTTCCAGGTTTTCCAATGGTTGTCTAACCGCTATCAGCTCGTGATGAAATCTTGTAACCACTCAAATCAAATCCTTGCAAACCAACACTTGAATAAAATCTTAAGCTACACAGTTATTTCATCTTTTTCCTACTTTATTCATTACCGGACAGTATTCGCTCATTCACGACAGGAATTTGGTATATTTTCTTGTAGGAAGCATAAACTTTGTGTAACTGTTTTGTTTTTATCGATAGGGTTAAAGAGAAAAGTCAGAGTGAACTAGAGAAAAGGATAAGCTACGATAATCAGGTCGCCAGTATACCAAGCTTCATAGCCAGCTTATTTAGTTAAGTTCTTCTTTCTGTGGATGTATTATTTTTGTAAAAGCTCTACGGTCTTTATCGTAGCTGTTCATTTTATCTATTTGAAGATTATTGTTTCTTATTCGTGGAGAATTTTTAATACTTTTACTGTAACTCAGATTCAGAGATAAGGAGAGATTTCCATGTCACAGCAAATTGATTGCCTACTTTTTACAGTTGTACTTACCATTGATTAATAAATTCACCTGATATTTTCTCTCCTCTCACTTGACGTAATACTGACTGCTTTAATCGGCATTTCTGTTGTTTTAGTCTGAACTAACAGAACTTAGAATAAAAGAAGCCAATATGTCAAAAGATGATGATGATGATGATAATATTATTAACAAAGATAACAGTGTTGATCCTTCGGACACTCATAATTCTAATAGAATTGAACTGAATAATCGTGTACAATTGCTGGAAAATGAATTAAGTAAAATGTGGAGGATGACCAGTTTATTGAAATCGCAACCTAATGATATTGGATCAGATGGTCAAAATACTATTACAAATATCTGTTTAAACTCTTTTGTCACTTTTCCGAGAGCATTTTCAAAGGAAATGAAACAGGTGAGTATACTTGCATATTCTTATATGATACTTGATTATTATTATTATTATTAACTCATTGGATATTTGACCTTATATCATGGATGTGTTTAAGGGTATTTAGTTCAGAAAAACGAATAACAAAAATATTAAGTAATCTGGAAATGCAAACTGTCTTAGACTGTTAAGCGCTATTGTAGATATAATGGAAATCTATTAAAGGTGATTCAAAATGTTGAATAAGGATTGTGTAAATACGAGAACATATTTTTGATGAAACGATTATTATCAGTATGAGCATAACAAGAGACTAGTATGTAAAGAATGAATAGAATAGGAGCAGGAGGGTGATTTTTTTTCAACAATAAAAGATTAGGATCATGGATGGAGAAGAGTCTTTTCTTATGTCTTTGTGTTCTAAGTTGAACATACGGCTTCAAGCTATGAGCTTTAAAGTTTCAGTAGCAGTGGTTCTATTTGTTTTTTCCTAAGGGGTGGGGTTGCTAGCCCCACTCTCTACCTTCTCCCTTTGCCAAGCTTACTACTGGCAAGGTGAGGTTTAAGGTTTAAAGAAGTCTTTTTTATATCTAAGGATTTGTTGGCAACTGTAAACAATGGGAACCCAAAACGAAACGACCTACGAACGCACAAATGACCTTGAGCAACCGATCAGGTGACTTTTTCCAGCAGTCGGTTTTGGGGATATATGACACCAGCCTCCAGAAAGGAAATATTGAGGCGACCCCTAAGCGCAGGGTATGTGTATTATTCCCTATTATCTAGCGCATAGTGCTGCCTGTGACGACTATTGTCGTTCTTTTTAGTCTTCTGATTGATCCTTGACAAGGTCATTTGTGTGTTTATAGGTCGTTTCGTTTTGGGTTCCTATTGTTTAGAGTTGCCGATTTGTTTCCTTTATTTTAATAAATATGACTTCAGAAATGAAGGTAAGGTGAAATACATCCTTATTCTGCCAGTTTATTTCTCACCATGTCAGTAACTCTGAAGAAAAGGATTGTTGAGATTGAATAAACAGTGTTGATAAGATGTGGAATCATCCACTACTACATCGTCATACCTACGAATTTTATTTTGAGTATTTAAGCCATCAAATGCATAGAAGAGCCAGTGGTGGTCAAACCAAAACATGACCTCATCAGTCAATGCAATCCACAACAGTTAGTTTAAGCCACGTAGGAATATGTAGACTTCCTGGTTGGGGTCTTGGGGACGGTAAACACCAATGACTGGAGACAATTGGTGATATGGCTCAAAATCGTTGTCAATGGCTGGCCCAGATGTATCCACTCCTTGTGACTTATAATTTCCAATAAAACTATACAGTTCTTCGATATTACTATTCGATGGTTGGAGGCAATCGGCAGGAAGCCTTGTGACCTAGGTTTCGTGCTAGTTGGCACTCATCAGCAAGGCGTATCTGCAACCTTGAAGGAACTGACGTCCCTTGTGAGATTCGAACCCGCGTCACCCAGTACTGCAGTCAGAGACGTTACCACTGAGCTATTCAGGCTCGCGACTGACCTCCTGTAGGACTGTATTGGATATTGTTGATTGCACACTAGTCAGTAACTAGTGTAATGTGTCTAGTCCTATTTTCGGTGTAGACTGAATTCTATCAGTCATGTTTGCAATGTGGCCACTATGCTAGGTGGCTCGCCATTACGGTGCACTGTGAATTGTTGGTATTAGATGGTTGGAGGCAATCGGCAGGTGATATGAGTAGTTAGATACCAGTATTATGTAGCGTCATGCATTTATGCTCGTTTTCTTGATTGTCATTTATGATATCAAGCAGATCATACTTCACGATCTAAATAAATCTGATCTGCAAAGAAAACTGTGGTGGAATTTCATCTTGAACTGTGTATATATTGCAAATTGCGAATCTGATTTAACGTCTTATCAGTTCACCGAAGTAGCTAGCCAGAATTCGAATGGTTTCAACTGATTCGTTACCGTGAGATGAGTTAAACCAGGTTTACTGCCGCGGAGCTTGGTGCAAATGAGCCAAAAAAGCCGTTCGGTGTTAAAATCACTTCTATCTGGTTAGCAGTCGCCACTGGTCGATTTGTGTGGCATACAACTACTCATATCAATCAATCAATCAGTGTAAATAGTACTTCTCGTTAATCAATTATCTTTCAAGGACACATTTTATCACCTGAATGCTATCTTTTTAAAAGTGGATAAGAATATTGAATTTTTTTGATGCTTGATTTGAAAATAGAATTCACCACATCGACAACGTGAACGGAGTTTTAGTCTTCCAAATAAAGATATTGATCTTAAACAAATCGTATCTGGAAATAATTTCACTCATGGAAATGGAACAACAAGTGCAGGTTCTGAATTTGGTTCCTGTGAAGAGTTTGTTGATAGTCCTCGTAGGCTGGATCATTCACAAAGGAAAACGGTATGTCTGCGTTTGTTTTTCCGATTGTATTATTCCATCTTTGTTATATAAATGAAATATATTGAGTTAAACTACTTTTTTTCAGTTGTTCAGTAGTATCATTATACGCTGGATATTTTTGCGACCAATCAAAGATGTGATTTTTGTATCGGTTATGATTTTTATCAAAAAATCTGTTTCTTTTAACTTTTGCTTTCCATGCCATACTATAGATATGTTTCTATTTGTTCTTGTAAAATAACTCTAAACCCTCTTCAGTCCATTCTATCATAACGTAATTGGTCATCATTGAATAAATCTGAAGAGAGTTTCTTCTACAGAATTACACGTTTACCATGCGATTAATATGATTAAATCGCACCTAGGAGTATATTTTCTTAGTGAATTTTTGAAGAATGACTAATTTATCTTGAAACGTTACTTCGTCTCAATGGCTGATTGGTTTGAAAAAAGAAAGAACTAACATATTCTCAGTAATTTTTTTGTTATCCTTGAAACTATGAACTGTCAGCTTTATCTAAATTGCTTCCAACTTTTGTGCCAATCATCCAGCCAGTTTATGGCATGGCGATTTCACCATTGACATTATAAGTCCTAATGGCACATCTGATTTGTAGACTTTGGGTTAATCCTACATGAACAGTATGCGTGATCCTTTTGGTTTAATGCCATTTTAGGTGTTGTTGTCGATTAGTCTCTTCTGTAAACACCATGAGATGCTTGTTTACTCTGTTTTCAAAAGGTTTTGTTTCATCGTTTTTTCACCTAACCACTTGGAATCTCATGATATCATTGAGGAACGTTGTCATTTTTAAGACAGTCCCGCCGGTTCATTATAACGATACCAGAACCTTGGTCTGGTATAGGAATGACGACTTTATCATTGTTTCATAGGTTTTTAAATGTTAGCCTGTGCTCTTTGGTAAACACTTTTGACTGTACAGGAGGAGAAGTGTGATACTGTTCTGCATCATCAACCATCTTGGACTTAAACCAACCTTTTTTATCCTCATCTACGGGTTACAAATCAGATAGTTGATCGTATAGAAGCTTAAACTGTGTTCCTGTGTCAATTCTGTTGAAAACACACTAGTCAGTAACTAGTGTAATGTGTCTAGTCCTATCTTCGCTGCAGACTGAATTCTATCAGTCAAGCATGCAATGTGGCCACCATGCTAGGTGGCTGGCCATTACGGTGCACTGTGAATTGTTGGTATTAGATGGTTGGAGGCAATCGGCAGGAAGCCTTGGACCTAGGTTTCGTGCTAGTTGGCACTCATCAGCAAGGCGTATCTGCAACATTGAAGGAACTCATGTCCCTCCTGAGATTCGAACCCGCGTCACCCAGTGCTGCAGTCAGAGACGTTACCACTGAGCTATTCAGGCTCAGTGGTAGCTTGACTGATAGAATTCAGTCTGCAGCGAAGATAGGACTAGACGCATTACACTAGTTACTGACTAGTGTGCAATCAAAAATATCCAATACAGTCCTACAGGAGGTCAATCGCGAGCCTGAATAGATCAGTGGTAACGTCTCTGACTGCAGCACTGGGTGACGCGGGTTCGAATCTCAGGAGGGACATGAGTTCCTTCAAGGTTGCAGATACGCCTTGCTGATGAGTGCCAACTAGCACGAAACCTAGGTCCAAGGCTTCCTGCCGATTGCCTCCAACCATCTAATACCAACAATTCACAGTGCACCGTAATGGCCAGCCACCTAGCATGGTGGCCACATTGCATGCTTGACTGACAGAATTCAGTCTGCAGCGAAGATAGGACTAGACACATTACACTAGTTACTGACTAGTGTGTCAACAGAATTGACGCAAGAACACAGTTTAAGCTTCTATTTGATCAACTATCTGATTTGTAACCCGTAGATGAGGATAAAAAAGGTTGGTTTAAGTCCAAGATGGTTGATGATGCAGAACAGTATCACACTTCTCCTTCTGTAGAGTCAAAAGTGTTTACCAAAGAGCACAGGCTAACATTTAAAAACCTATGAAACAATCATAAACTCGTCATTCCTATACCAGACCAAGGTTCTGGTATCGTTATAATGAACCGGCGGGACTGCCTTAAAAATGACAACGTTCCTCAATGATATCATGAGATTCCAAGTGGTTAGGTGAAAAAATGATGAAACAAAACCTTTTGAAAACAGAGTAAACAAGCATCTCATGGTGTTACAGAAGGACTATCTATCTATCTATCTATCCATCTATTACCAACAATAGATTGTATATGTATTTTTTCGAAGACTGTGGAAATTCTTCATGTAAATTTTTCCACTACTAAAGATTTCCTGAGTTTCTTCCCGCATGAATTTTCAGTTTTCAGCCGTAATTTTTACATGAATTTAATAAACTTTATACGACACATACCAAATTAAGAATTTCTAGTAGACTATCGAATTTGACTACATCTAACCTCAAAGTGGAGATATGTTTCTGAGATGACTCAGTATGTGATTTGGTGATACAATACAGATTCTTCTGAGTTGTAGCTAGTTTCATCGATCTGATAAGCTTCAGAAACTGATGTGAAAAATAACCTTCTGGTTGTCTGTCTATCTTTCTATCTGCTATTTAAATAAAGAGAAAATCACTAATCCACAACTGCAGTTGTCATAATTGTAAAAACAACTGCTGAAATTCACAGAGTATTTCTCTACTGCCCAACAATCAGTTAAATTTATCCTCAAGTCGGTAATCGTCAGTTTTTATAGTTTATTGATTTTCACGCTCTTTTTTGTACTAGCCTATTCGTAAGTTTAATGGTAATGGATTAATCCGCATCAACGAAAATTGTAATGTAAGGCGACAGAAAAAGAAATCTGAAATCAGGAAACGCCCATTTCACTTAGTTTGACCACACTTTTTTAGTTTAACATCTTAACAACAGTTTTGATATTTGTTTTATCTGTTCTTAAAAAATAATAAATTATATATTTCTTTGTAGTGATTTTTTTAAATTACAAACTTTATTCAACTATTATAGGCGACAGATTTTTGCGGGTTTTGTGAAATAATCAAATCAATACGACGACGCTTTGTATAGCATCAAAAAGGGGGGGGATAGTTTACTTCTATTAGGAGTGTTCGTTTTATATGGATTCAACCTTGAATATATGATGCTGTTAAACAGTATAAGGTCTTTGAAGATCCTTCAGATATTTGCTACCGAGATGGGTTTTTGTCTTCACATAACTCTGTTTATTTTCTCATAAACTATGAATTTTAGTTTTGCAGTTAGACGGGAAATTAGAACAATATCAACATTTGCATGGGAACCCATTGGTCTTTTCTTCCTTACAAGAAAATCTTAAGCAGCACTCACCTTCCAAGTCATATGAGATCGAACCTAGAACTGTCAACCCCTGGTTTTGTGGTATCTAATGATGATCATTTCCCAACTACTACCCAATCGTGATATAGTGTGACTGTCATTCAGAGCTTTCATGGATTGGTGTTACGTTTTAGACTTGACATCCTTGGCTTATCCTTCATGTTATCTTACTTCTTCTGCCAGAGCACAGTCAGATTACGTGATAGTTTGGGATCAAAGTATTCAATGGTTTACCGAATATAATCATGCACAGAATTTTCAATCTTTGCCATCTCAAGTGTGTCACTGATAACATTTTGAATATATCAGTTCCAGTGACTCGATCTGAATGTGAATGATTGATTGGGAACTGAGTTGTTATTCAAGAACAATTGAAATTTTCTGAAAGTAATACTATTTGTTACATTCACTTTCTCCTGGAAATGACTGCTTATCTCCTTTTTAGGTTGAAAGTTTCATCATCAACGGACTGTTTTACATTGATCTTTTTATTAAGTCTTGACAGTTGTTTACGATTGCCTTCAGTACAGAAGCTTGACAGCTAACTTTAGACACATTCGCTTGTTATGTTATCATCTGATTATAACAAGACAAGCTCTTGATTGATGTACTTTGTTTCCGCTAGTTATTTGTTCATGGCTTAATGGTATTTTTACTTTTATTCATAGAATCACCATCAATCTAGATTATCTCGTGACAATACTCAACGTTCAATAACACCGTCAACGCCTAGTTCTCGAACTACAGGAACTGGTCGCAGCGCTTTATTATCTATGCTAACTCCTCGTACAAATGATACAAATGATTTAAATAAATCTCTTCCCTCAGGTAATGAATGGAATACAGTGACTCAATCGAATGGCAATCCTTTTAATGGTATGTTCTACTCTTTATGTGTCGTCATAAGTGCCACTACTTTTAATCTGTGTATTGTTTTGGCATAAGGTAAACATGATGTGATATATATATATATCTCATGTTAATAATGCAGAGGATAATGATGTCATTAAAAAAAACTTCTCAGCTTCTGGAACATTTGTGTAACATATCAGCATTAGAAAGTGCTAGTGTAACGACAGAAGACAAGGGCCAGGCAACAGATCGTTTATTGAGAAAATCAAGAGATATTTATAAATTTTTATGTACATTCGTATTATTCGTTATTGTTAGCAGAGAAGCAACGTCTTCTGATTGGTTGTTTTCTTGCTGAAGGTTATTCTGTCATCTCTTTGTGGCCGTTTCTTAGAAAGTCAGGCCATATATCTGCGAATCGCATTTGCACACGTTAAGTCGGCTGTGATTGGTTGTTGAGTTCCTCAAGGTTAAGCTTTGTTATTGTTTTTCTTATGACCCCAATTCGGGACGTAAACATTTACAAATTTCGCGAGATGACATCATTTCGTAGTTTCTTTACAACCGCTTTACAACTAACATGGTTAACAATAATAAAATAAAGTTCATGACAATTACTCAGTTAAATAAAAACAAAAGTACATACTAATGACCAATCATAATTAGATAGGTCAAGTAGTCCAGGGTAGGCGAAGACTGAAGTCTATTGATTTTTGTACACACAGTTTAGGCTGTATGTGATTAATCCAAAGTGCTCCCATCACCTTCAATAACCTTGAATTAGAGTTATGTGAAATAATTGTAAAACAGTCATTAATATTGATTTTGTGATCTGACATTAATAAGTACTTTGCAATGGATGACGCTGGATTTCTATTCAGATTACTGGCATTGGGATTTTCTGTGTTTTAATAACCATTTTGGAACATGTTCTTTCCGACGACATTGGAACATTCTGTTGGTTCTACCTATATAGGTGCCACCGCAACTGCAGGTGAACTTGTAGATACAGTTTGAAGTAGAGTCCACAGAATTTCATCCTTTAATCGTAGGTACAGGGATCGAAAATGTTCGGCACGTGAGAAAAAGAGATGCGGCATATAATGTGCGTTTGATGGCTAACCGAAGTCTTTGAGCTGTCAACTGCATAATCTGGTCACCCTTGAATGGTAGGTTAATAAAGATAGCTTTCTTTGGTACCGAAGCTGTCTTTTCGAGATGCGGTCTTTCTTTACTGTGACAAGTGATAAAGTTTTCCGGATACCCATTAGCTAATAAAACTGAATGTATATGTCGAAACTCATCCATCACTGTGTCACTCGTGCATATTTTTCGGGCCCTTGAGAACAAACATTTCACTAGGGAACGTTTATACTGGATAGGAACAAAACTGTTAAAATGAAGATATTGTCCACTCCATGTCTGTTTACGAAAAATAGATCTCTGAATCGTACCATCATCTCTGCTGGTCATTGTAATATCGAGGAAACCGAGTTTGTTATTCGATTCGCGTTCGGAAGTCACTCGGATATTTGGATGAATATGATTAAATAGAGTAATAAAGTTTTCAATAGATTTACTATTATTAGCAATAATGAGAGTATCATCTACATAACGTTTATACAGCATAAATTCTCCACGCATACCTTGCATTTGTCTTTCCAATTTCGACATGAAAATATCTGCAAACAGGGGCCCAAGAGGGCTACCCATCGCAACACCATCGATTTGTTTGTATGCATTTACTGAAAGGTGAATCTTATATTTTCTGTACATATTAAGATGATGTCTCTGATGTAAGTTACAGGAATAGGCAAGTTTATTTCATTGCTTGTGATGTAATCGCAAAGGAAATCAACAGTTTCATTGAGGGGAACATTGGTGAATAAAGATTCTATGTCAATTGAACACATAACCTTATCCTTGATGTTCAAGGTGTCTAGCATATCTGTCAGATCAAATGAATGTTTTACAATTATTTCACATAACTCTAATTCAAGGTTATTGAAGGTGATGGGAGCACTTTGGATTAATCACATACAGCCTAAACTGTGTGTACAAAAATCAATAGACTTCAATCTTCGCCTACCCTGGACTACTTGACCTATCTAATTATGATTGGTCATTAGTATGTACTTTTGTTTTTATTTAACTGAGTAATTGTCATGAACTTTATTTTATTATTGTTAACCATGTTAGTTGTAAAGCGGTTGTAAAGAAACTACGAAATGATATCATCTCGCGAAATTTGTCTTCTTAATGTCTTATTCAAATTTATCAAAGGGACTAATTGTTTTAATAGTAAACATTTACGTCAATTGTTGTCTACAATTTTGGCTAGGAGAAAGCTCTTACCACACTAGTAATTGTCCACAACTATACACTAGTCAATAAGTTCGAAAAATTCCAGGAAGTGATTTAAATGTATATGCTTAAATGCCTATTTTTAAGTCATAGAAAAGAAAAGGCATTCAGCAAAGCGTTACTCTTTTCGGCGATATCATTCTCAAGCTGTACAAACCGCAAATTTATAGTAATTTTTCTTGGCAACAAAAGGAATATTCCCAAAGATGTGTTAATGCAATTGTTAATTTTTGACAACAAATGACGTAATTTAGAAGGCGTTAATCGGTTAGAAACTAAAATAAAGTTACAAAAGTAGGTTGGGTGACGTAATCTAATTGATAGGGTTCAATGAAAAATGAATGAGAGTCAACTTAGTAATCTGAGTAGAATTCACTTAAAAACTATTATTAACTTAACTCCCATTCATTTTTAAGTGAATTCTACTCAGATTACTAAGTTGACTCTCATTCATTTTTCATTGAACCCTATCAATTAGATTACGTCACCCAACCTACTTTTGTAACTTTATTTTAGTTTCTAACCGATTAACGCCTTCTAAATTACGTCATTTGTTGTCAAAAATTAACAATTGCATTAACACATCTTTGGGAATATTCCTTTTGTTGCCAAGAAAAATTACCATAAATTTGCGGTTTGTACAGCTTGAGAATGATATCGCCGAAAAGAGTAACTCTTTGCTGAACGTCTTTTCTTTTCTATGACTGTATGGGAATTTTCAAATTACTATTTTTAAATATTAAATTCTAGTGGTTTAGTAAAAACTATTAACTAGTACACATACACTGGCTCAAGCGTCCGACTCTCAACCAGCGGGATGTAGTTTCAAAGTTGTGTAATCCTACTTGCCTCTGGTCGACTGGGTAGTATCATCACGCTTCATAAAATAAACAAGGCTCATAGGTCTGCTACATGAGAAATCCATTCCGCATAAGCGACCACTAATATACGTATGTTGTTTATGATATTCAACAGGATCCTTGAATGTGAAGTCAAAACTGTTGATCATGTGGAAAAATAGTTTGTAAGGTCAAATTAGGATATAATTTTAGCGTACTTAACATTGTATGGAAATAAAATACTTTAAAAAGTAATATGTGTAAATATGTACGCAGAAATTGAAGTGGAAAAAACTACTTAAATCTTATTCATATTGGGAGATAATTAAAGTTTATATAAAAAAAGTAAACAATTGTTTCCACTAATCACTTACCCATGGAAGAACTTCATCTTCTTTAACTCTAGGTTACTATGGTTATGCTTATAAAGCTCATCTTTAACATTATTATTAAATAATATTCTTTCTGAGTGGGAAAAAATAGGACTTCAACAGCACATCTCCAATGTACTCTGTTCTGTGCATTCACTTTCAGCTAGCTCCATAAGCTTTCATTATTTCCTCTTCATATAATCTCTTCCATGTCACCCTCTGATACCCAATTGATTGCTTCCCAATTCGAGTTCCAGCTGACTACTCGGCATGTGATTTCACTTAGCGGTCTCTCAGAGTATGTCCAGTCCATCTATGCTGGGTAATAGGTTGTTGGCTGTCTTGCTGCCATGTGATCTTCAGTATCGAGCGAAGGCATCTATTGATGAAAGTTTGAAGTAGCCTATTGGAAGTGCTTTACCTGACTCACATGCCAAGTCTCTGAACTATGAAGAAACACTGACTGACTTAACATTAGTGTTGAAAATTCGTATCTTGTTCGGTTACAGGATTTCATCATGAGCTGACATTGGTTAGAGAACCATTGGAAAACCTGGGAGTACTGGACAGCTGTTTCATCCTGGTTTGGGGCTCTTCAGCAGTACGCACCCACCGGGATTCGAATCCAGGACCTTCTGGTTACAAGGCGAGCTCGTATACCATCGGGTCCCAGTGGCTTGATGGTATACGAACTTGCCATGTCAGATCATTTGTGATAGTCTAATGAAAGACAAGCTATCATAAATGAACATGGTCAGGATCTTTTTCTGAATTCGTAACGTTTTTTCTACTCTACTCTGATTCTACTGTGAACTAGTTTTCTACTTGACTAAAATCACTGGAACCTGTTAACTGTTGATAATTTTTTTTACAAAAGTTCTTTATTGACTGTATGCTTTTATGCTTATTTCGAATAACTTTTCATAGCGTGTTTCCATTACTTGCCTATGCATAATTCATATATATATATATATATATATATATATATATATATACCTATAACTGTATACACCCATTGTATCAGTTACTGTGTTGTTATTGTTACTTATATATTTATATTCGTAGTTATCTGTTCCTTATTTATTTGTTTATTTAAGTATTCATTCATTCATTCATCCTTCGTATATACATGTGAAGTGACTCTTCCTGATTAACATCTGTTGTGATGAGTGCATATTATTATTAATTTCATATATAATGAATTTCTGCCATTGTTGATGGAATCACAATAATAATATTAATAAATGATTGATGCATTTTGTTGTACGGTTTACTTATTTTATGAAATCTATCTGTATGGTTGATTAAACAACACATAGTTAGTTAGTTGTATTACAAGAATCACTTGTTGAGTGATGTTCTAGTGTGTTCTACCATTCGGTCATAGTAATTCAGTTTTCAGTCTACAGTAATCAATTGGAGGCTTCACCTAAAAAGCTTGAACCCTTACCAGACAACCTACATATCTCCGCATGGTTTAGACCAGCAGTCAGTGATTTCATAGTTTGGCAGCACCACGTCTTGGTTTGGTCATTTCTCGCAGCTTTTTTTAAAACTGTATTCTACTCACAGAGACACTTTGACTCAGACAGAGGGTAATTATGCAACCACATGACCCAGGCATCGTCGGTGTGTCGGTGGTATAGCGGTTAGGACGCTCGCCGACCATGCACATGGTCCGGGGTTCGATCCCCGGACACCGACGCACTCCTTGACCTCGCTGAGCCAGAAATAATGCTGGTAAAGAGGAAAGGTTGGGCATAAGGCTAGCAACCCCATCCTGTAAAATAAACACTGCTACAGAAACTTCAAGCCACTAGCTTGAAACCCGATGTTCCACTGGGGAAAGTGAAGGAAAAAAATGACCCAGGCATCTCAGATTTTCTTATCAGCCCATAAATTGTTTATCTGTTTCTGCTTACTGTTTGTAATTATTTGTTTTTTTTTAATTTCACAATGAACGGAAGTTTTTGATTTATTTCTATGTCGTTTTATTGTTTTATTTCTACCGTTTAATAATTAGAAATTCGGGAACCTATGAATAGTTGTCTACCATGTGGATCATCTACACCAGTGGTTATGCATAATGTTAAGGCTAAAATACCCAATATGCTTAATTTCCCGCGTGGTACAGGTGTCGGTGGTGCAGTTCCTCCTCCTCCCCCTCCTCCTGCTACTACTACTGGTCTTCCTTCTTCAACTACTCAACCATTATTTGATTCATTTCACTCTAATTCATTTATTGAAAATATAAATGAGGATGTCGTCGACAGAAATTTTATTCAACAAACAAATTCTAATAGTAAGTGGAGTAATTTTATGGTAAAAATAATGAATGATCAATGTTAAATAAGTGTTTTGAAGGAATGTATTCCTTGGTAATGTTTGTTCACTGTTCTGGAAGTTTTAGCTCAAAATGTGAAGTTAACCAGGGACTCAAATGGCCTAAAATTCACTGAAACTAGGTTTTCTAACTAGATTATGGAGCGCTTACAATAAATGAGTAAATTTAATGTAATAAACTTCGAATTATCGTTAATATCATTTAATCATTACAGCTTTTATTCATGCCTGTCCTATCGAATAATGCAATTTTTAAGTAACTAAGACTGAATTTTGAATATCCCTTTGCACACACTTCAGAGATTAAATCCAATAAATGAGTCATTTTCTTTTCCACCGATTCATTATGAAAATTAAAATTATTAACATTAGTTGTTTAAGTCGTAATTTGAAGCTTAACAACGTCTTTATACGGCTGTCTTTCAGATTTTTTAATGAAGCTGATTCTATAGTTGGATGGTTTGAGGTAATCCCTACGGCTTCATTCTATTCGTGACTCATCATCTAGATGGACTTGCATCCCCAGTGAATGATCGTGTTCTCACTGAGACTTGGATGTAACAGCCATTAATTTCGGATGCTGAATCTTTTGTCTACTGTATTACTGAGTCAAATGGATTACCCCTTGTGCGATGAATGTCGAAAAAGTATCCAAACACTTCAACTAATCCGTACACAAGAATAATCGAAATGATGAAAATAACCAGTTGGGAAACAGACCATGAATACAAAGAGAATTAAACTAAAGTGCGAATGGCTCAATGATGAGAAAAGTATCAATTAAGCCGTATAAGTTAATTATGCCGTGTTCACTGTTCGCTAGTCTTGAGACTGGGTGGAAAATTTGGAGAGGTAGTCAGTCCCTACCATGGCATCTTGGGATAAAAAACAGAAGTGTTGAGTTATCTATCTGTTGGTGCATCACTTGTCCCCGGATGAAATCAGAGACATAACTCGAGGCAGTGACTCGAGATGTTATCAAATATGGCTGAGAGTCGTAATCAGTGGCGAACATGCTTCAATTTCCTCCTTTCCTGTCTTTCTGAATGTAACACGTAGTAGTGAAGTTTCTTTTTCTAAATGCTGTTGCTAAGTTTGCTTGTCAGTTTTCTTGATTCTGTTTCTGAATTATTCTTTTTCTTTCTCTATGTATATATGGTACATCTCTCAGTGTCCACGTCGAATCAAGTTAACGTTTAAATAAAACGACGTTTGAGTCGCTTTGTGTGTATGTGAAACATGACCATACATTAAACTAGCATTAAAACTCAGATTTATACATTGAATATATATATAAATTAAGTATGCCTTCGATTGTCCTTTATTTCTTTAGATCCACAGTCAGAAAATCTACACAGACGTAAACTCAGCAACTCCAGAAAACATCACATTTCTAGACTACCTAAACCTACGCCTAGTCGTAGGCTTTCTCATGGTTCAGATGCTGTACACTCTAGTGATCAAATGTATACCACACATCATAGAAAAAGTAAAACATCAGTTTCAAAATGTAGATCACGTCAAGATTACTCTTTAGTAAGATCTCTTTTCAATTCTAAAGGTGCAAGAAGAAAGCATAAATTACCACGATCTCGTAGTGGTTCACACAAATCTGAACAAACTGTAACCGATTCAAATTATTCAAGTCAGAATCATAGTCTGAGTGATCATGCTGAAGAACTTCTGAATTTGGTAAGTGCGTTTTACGTTGTTGTTGTTGTTATTGCTGCCGTTGTTTTTAACATCTTTGTGGTGATATTCATTTAGACAAACAAGGTTACTCCAAACAAATATACTTCATGTATCAGGTCATGAGTTAAACTTATTATGTAGGAATACGACGACACTGAATTAGATGGGGTTGGATTCGAACCCTAGACCTACTGGCTGTAAGTCGAGTGATCAAGCCAATGAACCACACGCAAGATGACTTACCAGCAATATTTGTTCGTGTATATGATGATCTCCAGCTTTTATTAAGATATTTTAAAGAAGGCGGAATAATTTTAGGATTACTATTGATTATCGTGGGTAATATATTACTGTATATAGAACTAAAGCAACAAGTTGGCAGAAGAAGCATCCAGAGAAGATAGGACTTCAGGTGAACATAGAGAAAACAGAGGTGATGAAGATTCCTGGCCAACAGCAACACAACAACAGATAACAATCAGCCAGCATAAATGGGAGAAATCTGAAAGAAGTAACCTCCTTTACCTACCTACCTACCTACCTACCTGGGAAGCATCGTTTCAACTACAGGCAGACGGAACTGATGAGGATATCAAAGCGACGATCGGGAAAGCAAGACAAGCTTTCATTTCTCTCAAGTCTGTGTGGAGGTCAACAGCACTCAGCATCAAAAATAAGATCCAGATTTTCAACTCCAATGTGAAGTCAGTGCTACTATACGGATCAGAGACTTGGCGCGTCATGGAGGGCGCTTCGAACAAACTACAGACCTTCATCAACAGCTTTCTTCGCTCAATACTACTCAAGATCAGATGGCCAGGAAAGATCAGCAATAGTGAGGGATCTCTGGGAGCGAACCAACCAGGAACCGGTTGTGCAACAAATAAGCAGGAAGAAATGGAGGTGGATTGGCCATACTCTGAGGAAACCATCAAGTGACATGCCAGGCCATCGCTCGAGTGGAACCCGAACGGGAAGCGGCGAGTTGGTCGTTCAAGGGTGACTTGGAGGAGGTCATGTGAAGAAGAGATGAAAGCATGTGGGCAGACGTGGAGCATTGGAGAACCGAACGCAATGGAGACGTGCGGCTGAAGCCCTATGTTCCTCTAGGAACTAAAGGAAACAATAATAATAATAAATATAGAACTAAGTTTTGGAATACGCTGAATAAATGATTTTGTCGTATTGCTAAATTGTCACAAATTTGTGCCTGTAACAAAGTGTGAATACTGGCAAGAATTTACGCCACATTAGTAACTGCACCCTTGGCTAATAAGTTGATAACAGTAGCATAGGACATTATTATTTTAATTTGAATATTTTCGAATTTTCGAATTCCTTATTTCATCTTGACTTTCCAATGCAAAAAGTAGAATGTTAGTCATTTTCACCTTTTTTTTTATCTCTCCTACCCAATATAAATCTATTTCTGAAGATTGTTATGTCGCGTGATGCATGCTCAGTTGAAGTCAATCGTATACGAGCTGATTTAGCAAGATTGCGTAAAGCTAATTCAAGAGGAATTGATCGTCTAGGTCAGTCCAAATCAAATACTACTGAAAATGTAAGTTTTAGCCTATATTGTTCAGTGCACACTTTCGTATTATTTTATACCTTTCTTCAGTATTAGTATGCACTAGAATTAATGTACTTCTACCTTGTCTACAAATTGTTTATTAAGTAATATCTAACATCAGAGATTACAGCCGCAATATGTAATAAAGATTTCAAGTAAAAACTACATTATTTGTGTTTCTCATTATAGCTTTAGTTGGCATAATCTATCTACTAGACAGAAGTGAGAAGAAATAATAAACTGAGCGAAGAAATACATTATTCCTTTTTAATTAGTTCCTCATCAAGGGCTCTAGGCTATTGTATATATTTATTTATCAAGAAACAATATATACATAATAAAATATATAATATATCAATTTATCAAGAAACACATGACAAAGAAAGCGGAAAGGACTACTCACTATCTGTAAACGAGAAGCCACTTTATATACGACTACAATTCAAGGGCGATATACCAAGTGAGATAATTACGAAGAAATTAGGAAAATCAGTTCAAAGAACTTTTAATGCTGGTGAACTACACGTATCATTCTCTACACGACCGATGGTGCTACCTCGACTGAGAGATGAAGTACCTAGACTAGCCACTTCAAATTGCATCTAGCAATTCAACTGCGCTTATGGAGAGAGTTATTTTGACCGTTGCTCTAGGAACTTGATTTTTCGTGCTCGAGAACATATCCCACTATGGCTAAGTAAAGGTGTAGTTAAAACTATTAACAGTTCGATATTGGACCATCTGGCGCAAACCGGCCACAAAGCCAGCGTGGAAGAATCCTCTATAGTCTACCGGGTGCCGAATAAATTGCCAAAATCATCGAAGCACCGCATGTACCAAACAGCAGAGGCTATTGCAATTCGCCTTAAACAACCAGTGCTCTGTGTTCACAAGAAGCAAGTCCAGCCCCTACTACTGCTCCTGGCCTTCAGTAGAGACTATAAATTCATGAATTTGTAATATTATCTTTCCTAATTTTTCTGACATTCAGCTTATTTTATGTTGAGGCTATTGAGCTGTAATCTATCAATATTATTGATTCGATGTTGTTCATAACACTAATTAATCCATTCACTATAATGTATATATAACTGTAGAGTCTGATGATGAAGTTATCGAAAAGAGTATTCTTTGTTCAGTATCCATTCTTTTGAAAAAAATTTTAATGGGCATTTTTAATCAGTTAAAATATTGTATATATATTTTTACATCAAGGTTAGGTCAATCATTGTGGTAGTGTTAGTCAATAAGAATTATCAGTTTTAAGGTATGGGGGTGGGGTGAAAATAATTATAGAATTTAAGATCAGTTGATCTGTAGGGGTTAGGAATAAGTTATTACATAATCAACAATTTGTAAGATACTGATGACTAAGAAGAATAGATAAATGAACTTCGTAAGAATACTATGATATATGGTTTTTTTTCATTCCTTTACGTTCCCAGTGGAACATAGGGCTTCAAACTAGAGGCTTGAATTTTCGGTAGCAGTGGGGTTTATTTTTACGGGATGGGTTTGTTAGCCTCATTCCTAACCTTGCCTCTTTACCAGTCTTGTTACTGGTTTAGCGAGGTAAAGGAGTGCGTCGGTGTCCGGGGATCGAACCCCGGACCACATACATGGTCGGCGAACATTCCACTGCTGTGCTACCGACGCTAAGACATAAACAAGTTAGTTTAATTAGCCGGAATAGCAATCTTAATAACTTCATAATAATATCAAATGTGATAGTCACAAGGATAGGGGAAAATCATTTTGGAGAGACTGTATGCATTGGTATGTGGAAAGAGATGGTCTAGTTCAATCATGTTTTGGTAATCTCTAGCATCTTCTCCTGCATAATTTTTCTTTACACTAAGTGGGCATTTGTTCTAAGGATTGTATTACTATGACTAAAAGTAGATATTTGTTCCGGGAGACCTTTTTTCCACAAAAACTTGCGAGAATCAGTTTGTTTTCTTCTAATGGAGTTTGAGTTCTGTTCTCTCCCTCTTTTTTTTTTATAGCTTTATTAATTCATGCGATAGACTAAGTTGATTATGGTCAGTTAAACTGTTAAACACTGACTTTTTGACTAAATTGACCATACTTATTCCGTCTCTCTTGTGTATAAAGTAGTGATATTAATAACTATAATAATAACAACAACTAGTGTAGTAGCTAGTATGTGTGTTTCTTCGTCCCAGTTATTGTATCCTTCTACCAGGTCAGTGAATGGTCAAGCGTATATGTCTTGGTTCAATGATTGTTTTTGTTGCCATATACACATACACACCCAAATATTTCTAGTATTCCCCCTTTTCTCAATATCTCGTAGCTATTATTATTATTAGTAGTAGTACTAGTAGTATTGTTACCATCTTGCCTATTTTTTCCTTCTTACTCTCCATTGTCTAACTAAGCAAATATTTGAATATTGTGAATTATCCTATATTCCTCCAATTATAATAGTGATATATCTATCCTGTTGGTTGGTCTATTATCATATACATATGTACACACGCTCACACATACAAACAAACAGAACGTATTTACTCAGGTGTATACAGGCATTTTAAAAATGCAAAGATATTTCTACGTTACGTTAGGTGTTTTTTTTCTCCTGTCAATGTTTATTTCATGTGATTAGCAATTCTACGAAGTAATTGGTAGAGGACTAAATGGAATAGCCACCAGTGTGCAATCATTACACTGTATATATACACATTTCCTCCTCCTTTTGTCAATGCTCCAATTTGTTTTTTTTTGTTGTATTGATATGCCCTGATTGCAACGCCTATCCTGTATGATTTAATGATGAATAAGTACAAATAGAAGTCTATTGGAAATACTCTATTACAATAATTATTTATTCTACCAATGTTATTACTCAATGTCTAGATGAATACAACTCCTTCTTTATGTCTGTGTGTATGTGTTCGTTTGTATGCGTGTTTGTGTGTGTGAATGCGTGCACTCGTGTGATTTCAGATTGCTCTTCTCTCTCCATATATTTATTTTCTCAATCATCATATACTTACGTAAAATAATGGACATCGAATGTTAGTTGATATGAGATCACTAGTACTGTCAGTTGATGTATGCATCATATATACTCTGTATGTGTTTGTGTAGTGAGTGAGTGAATACACAGTTAGGTTTGACACACACACACTCACATACACATCAACATATTGAAAATTTGATTTATTATTATTATCAATTTGATTGCACGTTTTTATATGCTATTTCCGATTGTGTATCAACGTGATTCGCTCTGTAATGAATGATATTATCGTTATCATCGTTATCGATTTGACCTAATTTTCATTTATGCTGAGATTGTGATCCATTGAACTTTGACCAGAAAAAAAAAGAGGAATAACTTTAATCTCTAATTTCAATCCAATGGATATTTTCACTCACTTTATTTGATGGATATTTGTGGATATTTTAAAGTACAAACAAAAGGAAACTCACAAATGATTTAAAAAGGCGGGTTTATATTAATTTACATTTACCTCTTCTAATCTATTGACATAATAACATTTGATCAGATTATTGTGTGTAAGTATTGGTTTTTTCTTTGTAAAAAAAAAGAATTATTGTTTTTACTTTACTCTCTTGTTTGATTTTCACTGGACTGAAATGTGTTCAGTCTCTGTTGATCTGTCAGCTTCTAATGCGAACACTTTGACTCTATGCCTTTAAGTTGACATGATGTTTAGTTAATGGTGGCTAGCTCTTTGAAGTTTGAAAAGATGGGTACTGGATTCGAGTCTCATTGGGAACACCACTCATTGGTATATCCAAATAATAAGTCACGAATATAGGACGAGACGTTTGTCTCCTTGGTATCACCACTGGCTTCCATCAACCAAACAATGCCTTTATTATGTTAATGAATAGGTTCTCATTGTGATAATCAGTCTGCGTTAAACCTTGTTTACAGCTTTGTCATAGTGCTAGTCCACCTAATTAGTTTTTTGTTCTGTGTAAAGTACTTAAAGTAATGTGGGAAAATGAGTTGCTTTCATATCTACTGTTTTTATATATTGTAAGTCGTTATTTTTATATGATGCTATATAGATGACGGAATAATTATTCAAGTGGGATTTTTTTCATTGCAATAGTTATTTATGTGTATTTATGTGATGATATTAGATGGTTGGAGGCAATCGGCCAAAGGAAGCCTTGGATCTAGGTTTCGTGCTAGTTGGCACTCACCAGTCAGCAAGGCGTATCTGCGACCTTGAAGGAACTCATGTCCCTTCTGAGATTCGAACTCGCGTCACCCAGTGCTGCAGTCAGAGACGTTACCACTGAGCTATTCGGGCTCGCGATTGACCTCCTGTAGGACTGTATTGGATATTTTTGATTGCACACTAGTCAGTAACTAGTGTGATGCGTCTAGTCCTCTCTTTGGTGCAGACAGAATTCTATCAGTATTTATGTGTCAGTCATTGTGAGTCGAAACATAATGTAACTGGGAAAACAAAGATGCATGAGTTATTAAGTCTTATTCAGTGTGCAAATGGTTTGGGTTAATCGGACTCTATTGTGTTAACAGGAGGTTATTCCATGCTTAATCACCGTCCTCATGAACGAGCAATGTTAACTGATGTAGGATTAGGTTTATGAAAAGTTAGCCATGTTCATACCAAGGCAAAAGTTTGTGATTGTTCGTTTCAGGCATAAAGGTATAGGTTACTTGGTTTAAATCTTCGAGATTGTGGGTGCCAATTATTGAAGATCGTCGAAGATATTATTCAATCATTCATCATGACACAAATGTAATTCTCCTCTCATCATCTTCACATTCCCGAGAATTTTCGCCAATCTTCATTCAGTTACTCACTGTCACTCACATTTATGTTTTCGGGTGGTAACACTATTCTGTTTATGTTCTCTCCTTTCTTAATGTAATATTTTGAAATTCCTGAGCCAGGTAAGGAGGTGTAGTCTGCATGGTTGGAGTCCTCAGGATGCTCAGAATTGATGGCTGGAAACTCTTGGTGATATGACTCATAATTGTCAGCGGCACAAATGCATTCAGAATCTTTTTAATCTCTCAGATCCATCAAATCATCTTGTGTTTTTCTATTTTAATTTCTCCCACACATTCCTCCTCATAGTTCTTTTGAATTTGTTCTTTCTGTCTTTTGTCTACCTTTGTGTACCACATGGAGTGAGGCAACTTGAAATGCTGAACTTCTGTGCAAAGTTCTCTCTTGCCCTGTGACTGCTTATTAAATAAAAGGGGAATTGGGTTTGATCTATTGAGACCTGTTTGTTATATCCATGCGTACACTAAACGCCTGTATACAGAGCAACACTTTCCTTCATACGATGAAAATTGCCTTCTTATCCACTAAGTTAAAAGTGGAGTTTTGTTTGAATTATTCTTTTGAGGAACGATCACTGGGTTAGTTGAATAGTAAAACATACATTAAATCATTTCCGACATCATATGAGTTGCGTTTGATGATATTTAACAGATGCACTTTGAAAATAAACTTTTATGTTCATACTACTACCTACTGTTATTGCAGTAGTGTTGTCAAGTATTCACGACTATGGAACATTTGAAGTACTTTCGAGTCATTATTTACCATTTCATCACACTTGTGGTGTGTTACCGTGTGCTGAAGGTGAACTCTAGTGATCACCTGTGTGATTAATTTTCTATACTTTCTATTATTATACTTACTTACTTTACTTCGGCCATCTCCTACGGGAGGATTAGCCGGCTTCATGAACATCTCGAATCATCGCTGCCCAGGCGCGGCGATCTGTTTGTAAGAGAGTTCATGAAGTTTCATGGGAATTTGGTACGAGTGATTTCCCCAGAATTGCTCGGCCTTTTGTTTGAGAGTGCAGCTCTAGCCTTTACACAACCAAGTGTGACCTACAAGGCAGTAGGAGTGGAGTAGGGAGTCCACTATCCATTGGCAGCCGGTGACCGGAGTTCGGTTCATACGCCTTTTTGAATGGGGCCAGACATCCAGGACATCCAACAAGCCCTTTGTTCATACGTCTGCCGGTGAGCTCCAGTGAGCTTCATACGCCAGTCGTTGGAGGTTTGGAATCAGGGTTTAGCCATCTCCCCTAGACTGTCATCCAATGGACAGTCAAATCGGTGAAGAGCGCCAGGCATCCGCTTTTGCCCTCTCACTTTGGTGAAAAAACACCTCCGCCACGTGAAGGCAGTGAGTAGGACTTCCTCAGGAGAGGCTATGTAAGACGCCCGGTCATATGGGAGCATTTCAAGAGGTGTGCGGAGGGGTGACCAACCCGCAGCGCAAGGCACCCACCCCCGATCATCCTGAGGCTTTGGAGGCTTTCTATTATTATGGGAAAATATGATTGTACCGTATCAGTTAGTAAATTGTATTAGTCTGAAAGTATACCTTACGCTTTATTTTTTCATCTCTGTGTCCATCATTCATCATAAGTATCTGTTAGACAAGACGAGAAATAAATAAATAAATAAATAAGAAAAGCGTTTTACACGAATGACTTAGCGGAAAAATGCAGTCAATCACGTCGTGTTTAGCCCGCATTTTATGTGAAGAAGGAATAGTTAGTTAGCACATAAGCTATTATTAATTAACTTTGCGATTGTAGCAATAAATGAATTATAGATTACAACTGTTATAATTATGGGTTTGTTCAGTTGATTGAGAATATTTGACTGTTATTTCTACGATGTTTTCGAGGTATTTGGGGTTACAACAAATATTAGTAATGTAAACACTACGAGGCATTTAAAACTTATATAAATAGACGTGCTTGTTAATAAATTTTCATAATTTCTTTACGAAAACTAAAGTGAACTGTAGGTAGTCTTTATTTGGATGAACATTTTTCACTATCTTTGCAACTCTTATAAATTATAATCTATGAGAGAAATTCATACAAAAGTAATTTACATTCTTTACTCCTTTTAAAGTAGTTTTAATTATTCTTCGATTCATATAGTGACTAAATCGCATTATTTAGAAGTATAATTATTATCACTAAAACACAAACTTCTTATATTATGGGCGCCAAGAGATGTGCCACACAAAATCTGAGATACTGCCTGGATGCCCGGAGCGAAGAAGGTGGTGGTCTTACGAGGCCACTCTCCCTAAGCCTTCGAATTGAATTCGAGTCCACAAGGGAGTGGAGAAGTGTCCGGAGCTGCGTTCCTATGATTGCCGATGACCAAAATAGGTTCATACGCCATTCTGTCCATTCGGATTCTGGAGCCCATGTACACCATAAATTTGGAATCAAGGCTTTTCAGCCCTCCCCCGAGGTAAATCTGTATGTCCATCAGTCTGGTTGTTAGCGTCAGGAGTTCGTATCGGCGCTTTCACTTTTATGAGGAACACCCCTACCGCGTGAAGGTAGTGAATAGGACTTACCTGGCAGAGGCTGTGATGAACGCGTGGCCACATGAGAGCGTTCACTAGTTAGAAGAATTTTTGGAAAAATCAGGATAACTGTGCTCGTTGCGTAACGTGACAGTTTTGAGCTTAATTGTTTACGAGGTAATGAAAAGTCTGAAGCTTGGTTCCCAATGAAGTTGTTTCACCAAGTATGAATTCATGACAAAATTCAAATGCCCTATGAAGCCACCGACATAATTTTAAGCATTTTCAGTTTAAGCTATCAAACAGTTGTCGAATTTATAACACATTGAGATACTTTCAGCGTCAACGATATTACTTCAGATGATGATTACATTCTTTCGGTATAACTCACAAGAATACTTTTTGTCCACAGTCTAGAACACTGTTGCAAACGTTTTAAACTTATAACAAAATAAGTGAAAGTATCATATGCTTTAATTTCTCTCTCATTGTTTCTTCTCTTGTCCTATCAGGTCTATGCTGATCGTCTTCGCCAGATGCGAAATCATACTGATTCACTGAAAACTAGATATTCACCGGCTGGAGATGATAATAACGATTGTACGTATACAGAAATTCAACAGCCTACAAATTATAAAATACAATCACAACGTACAAATTATTATCAACAGAATTTAATTGAAAATAATCATGAAAAGAATTTCAGTCCAAATCGTATACAGTCTAAACGTCAAACCCGTAGATTACTTCCACACACTAAATCATTCGATGACGGTGATGATTACGATGTTGATGATGTTGATAATGATTATAATGAATTGAAAATAAATGATAATCACATAGATAATAATAATAATAGTAATAATGATAATAATGGATATATTGACGGTGATGTTTATGATGAACAAATGAATTATCCTTATCGTTGTGGTGGTGATTATAAACGGGAGTATGAACAGATTGATCCTGTGGAACATTGGTCAAATGGAGTAATTGAATCAAATTGGAATACAGAGCACAAAAGTAATTTTGTTGTCTATATGTAGATTTATTGTATTTTTGTCTTTAAGTTTTTAATCTCAAAAATTTATGTTATGTATTCTTGAAATCCGTTTTGGAATAGATTTGACTCCGCTCGTAAGATTTAGATATGATGGAGAAGATTTGTAGCTCAGATGGATGATTTTGACTCCGTATATCGGTGTGAAATTCATCAAAAACTGACCTACGCAGTATGCATGCCTCCATGCCACCTCGCTAATTTCTGACGAAATGTACTTTGAGGATATTTCATAATTTCTTTTAACTGTTTAACAGTATGGACTGATTTTTCAAACTTAGGAGTGTAACTCAAAGTTTTATAAAAATACTTTCTTTGCCTTCTGAGCGAAACATAGGGGACTTAAAGCCTTGAGGTTTCAGTAGCCGTGATGTTGTTTCACAGAATGGGGTTGGTAGCTTCACACTCAACCTTCCCTCTTTTCCGGACTTTTTATCAACTAGTGAACTGAGTGAGGTTTAGGAGTGAGTACGAATCGAACCCTGGACCACTTATGTGATTTGCGAGAATCCTACCACTGAACCATCGACGGGAACGTAGAAATGTATTGGTTCAAGTTGCTACAATCCATATGACACGCAAAATTAGAGAAAGGAAAAATTTCAAAAGAACTCTAGTTAAGCGGAAATGCCTTGGAAAAAAAAAGAGTAATCGAATATAGAAACTTGACAACTCAGTTAATCTGAGAGATTACGAAGAGTGCCATTGACAACGTGTTTCAGCCAAATTACACCAATAGTCTTTAGCCTTCATTGGTTCATACCGTTTTGAGAACCCCCAACCTCTGAGTTTACACCTCCCTACACGGCTCGAATCAATAGTCAAAGACTTTATGGACTGGACTGAAACCAGATTTTGGTTTAACCATCCGCATCTGCGTCGGTGGCACAGAGGTAGAATGCTCGCCAACCACGCAGGTGGTTTGGGGTTCGATCCCCGGCCGCCGACGCACTCCCTTACCTCGCTAAGCCAGTAACAAGACTGGTAAAAACGGAAGGTTGGGCATGAGGCTAGCAACCCCATCTCGTAAAAATGAACTCCACTGCTACCGAAACTTCAAGCCTCTAGTTTGAAGCTCTATGTTCCACTGGGAACGTAAAGGAATAAAAAATTCAGAAAAAAATTTGTTTGGGCAATTTTATTGCAACATGCTTTTCTTAATGTATATATATGCCTATAAGTCGAAATAATTCTATCTTTAAATGTAAAGGTTAAGTTAAGTTTTGGTATTTTATTTTTCAAATAATTTTTTTCATTCCTTTGCTTTCCGAGTGAAACATGAGGCTTCAAGCTCTGGAGTTTCAATAGTGGTTTTTTTTTGCGGCGATGGGCTAATAGTCTCACACCCAAACTTTTTCCCTCTTTTCCAGACCTACTACTGGCTAATAAACTAGAAGAGGTTAAGAAGCACGTCAGCCGGGAATCTAAATTAAGACTACTTGTGTGGTTGGCGGATATTCTACTATTGAACCACTGACACATTTTATTCCATGTAATAATGAAGTTTAATCACTAGGTGTCTACAGGCTTGAACGCTCAGGATAAAGCTCCATTTATCGATTTGACGCCTGAAATCTCATTTTATTATCCTAATGAAACTAGATGAATCAATAACACACGGATACTTAGCCTAGCTTCTTACTTCTTAAATACTGCATTCAGCACTAAATACCATCTTATGATGAGAACAGTTTATGTCAGACCACTGATGGAATTGTTATCAGTTTAAAATATAGCTTTGACGCTTGATTAATCACACACAGTCGATGTGTCATCATTAGGTGCTAGGACGTGATCGACAGGAAGCCATGGACCTGGGTTTCGTGCTTGTTAGCAGTTTTCAGTAAGTTTATCTGCATTCTCAAAAAATTGATTCGAACTCGTGATAACTGCCAATAAGTATTTTACAGGGTTTTCTTCGAGTTGATTCTAACCATGTAATAACTATTGAGTTCTTAACGATGGAGACTGTCCTATCTTCGTGACTACATTGCAAAGTTGATTCTTAGAATCTGAACAGTATCATTAAAGACTAAATATATGGCACTTGTTACTCCCCAGTGACCAATTAGTGTAAGGAAATAGTGTGAATGAATTCCCCATGAATTAGTTTAATTCTCAGGGGAAATATTAATTATTATCTTCTCTTAACTGTTATTTACATCAGAACAATTGTTCTGAATACGTTCTGTTTTAGAGCTAAAAATCTCGGGAATACCCTGTCTGCATCATTTTTGCTCAAATTATATTAAGGCAAATTATCAATTAGGAAATAATCACAATTTTACTGTCTATTATTAAACTCGGAATTAGCACAGTGCTAATGTCACTACCTTACATTTTACTCAGGTGAAACATTTTACACCTGACCATTATCTACTCTTATTGTGTGAGCGCTGATGATAGTCACTAGTCTCCAGGGTTGATAAAATTGGAGAGAAATTAGAACTCACTGATTGAATACCAAGTGCCTAAGTCAGTGAGTCACACTCTGGATATCACTCAAAGCACTCGAAAATTTCGCTAATGACTTCACTTAATAGGTATATGCCATTCACATGCTTGGAAACAGTTAGTTGCTTTTTAGGCAGCAATTTGATGTTTGGTTGGTTAAGTTTATGTAAAGTCATCCCCATCAGTACATCTTCGACAAGTATCTTTGATGAACATTATTTCTTACTTCAGATAAAACTGATCAATCTCTTAAATAACTTCATGAATTCAATTACCCGGGTTTGATTAGCATAACATACTTCCTCTCATCTTCTTAATAAGCAGACCCTGCCACAACACCGTTTGATAGACCTAATCAGAGCTACCTCTAAGCCCAAAGTTATGGGGATTGCGGAAGGGTGGAACGTATTCCTGTATTCCTGAAACATTTTGGAGATTAAATATATGATTAGCTCAGAGTTGAATCTTGCGCGATACAGAAAAGTACTAGAGTGAGACTACAATCGACGGAAATGTACGAGAGGAACAGTAGTTACATGAAGAATGGTGAGAATTTTCGGAATCTTGATGGTAACAAAATGGTGACACCTGTTTCATTGTGAACTGTTTTGAACCATACCACTATGGGTCTCCATCGATTGATTCTTAGTATCTCGATGATCCCAGCCAATCCGTCTTCATCTCCCTACATACCTATTAATTAACAAGAAAGTCGTTGTAGTCGAAATGTTTTGTCTCTGTATATCACCCTATTAAATTATTTTTCCCCACCGTTTCTCATCATAACGAATCACGTTCAAGTCATTCCCTAAATTATCACTTTTTTGAAAAATAATGTATTACTGAGCCTACTATTGTCCCGTCTACTAATCCTTTATGTACTCATATATAAACCCTACTCTAGCTTCGTCAAACCGAAGAACAACATCTCAGCACAGAAATTTATTGACCGGTAGACGTCCAAGAACAAGATCAATACCTCGTCATCCTCCAGTCAGCACTAATTATTCACCATGTCGAAGGCTTAATTACGAGCGAAGATGTTCTCGTGGGCATTCATTGGACTATACTCGCCTATATCCTAAGCGACCGTTAGTACGCAACTCTGCAACGAGTTTACTGAACAATTTAGAATATCATGATAGTGATCCAACCTCAGAGACTGCAGCTTTAATTCACCTAACCGATGAACTACTTGGATTACGTCAAGGTTTGAAGCGAACACGTGAAGCTAATTCAGAAAGAGTAAGTATTTTTCTCTCTACCAGTCTATGAATATTCTTGACAATCGTAAGGATAAATTTATCAGTCGTGGTTTGCTTATTCTTCGATAGTTTTTGTCATTTTCCTTAAGAAACTCTGACAATATTTTAGAAATAAGAAACAATTCAATAATGTATGTAGAACAGATTATCTTCATTTGCTTTCGCTTACATAACGGAAAGAAAAGTTTTTACAGAAAATCCTCTTTTTGATGCACTGGGTGTTGTTTGAGGGTGTAATGAAAATCTGGGTCGCGTCAGCAGTCCAGGCAGCGGCTACCGAATTGCTAGTCCAGTCGCTAGTTCGAACCTTTCCGCAACCCAGATTTTTATTTCACACATCATATCAATAATAGTCTGCCAAACTAAGATAATTTCACCATCAGTAATCCTGTTTACTTTCGGTTATTTCTAAGCATCTTAATTTGCATGTATTTATTGTTTATCGGTGTTGCTTTCCTCATCCTTGGTTATACGCATAATATTTACAAGTGTTACTTGTGTTTCAGTTACATCTGTAGCTAATGCTCCACATTACATGCTTCTATCTATTTCTGAGGGAAAATCACAGACCGTGACTATGAAATATTTCATTTGGTCTTAAAACTCATACAGTATGTTTCTGCAAGCGCGAAATATAGTCGTCTGTTTCTTAAACATGATTATTTTCACATGAAATTTAACATTAGCCACTGGATATTTTTTATGCTTATCACCTCCAAATAAAAAAAGAAATAGGCAGACAAAATAAGATTACGGGAGGAAGTTGGAGGGAGAAGATAACATGAGAATCGAAGTATTTAATAATTTGGTTTACAAGATGCAATGTATAACCGGTGATTCTAAGTGTTTCACCAATATGTTGATTTTCACTGCTTTCGGTCGACTGAAATTAACCGACGTGTTAGGCTAGGCTATTCAAATATATTACTATGAATGTATCCAAATACCAGTTCACTCATAATCATATATCTTTTGAATGACTGCAACATGTTATTTACAGTCAGCCCTTTCGGTCTTTTGTTTTGTTTTAGTTGTTTGAAGTGATAAGGTTAGATTTTGACTTCAATCCTATTCATCAATTCTGAGTAATTCAATCATTTCTAATGTCTATATCATTTTATATGAAGACGAAATAAGTTTGAAGTCAATTGGTGGATGGTGACTAGCAGTGGGATCCAGGATGCACATTTCGTCCTTTTTGGGACTCGTCATCTGGATGTGCCTGCACTCCCCAGTGAGTGGTTGTGTTCTCACCGATGCTCGAACCCAGTACCCGTAGTTTCAAACGCCAAAGCGTTATCCACTAGACCGCTTGGACCACGAGAGTCACCTTTTGTGCAACGGGTCTTATTTATTATTTAATTCAATTTAGAATTTCCCATCGACTGATTGGACCGAAGTGCTCGGTCTCTGCACATGGAGCTGACATGCCAATCTGAGACCTAGCGCTTCGGTTCAATCAATCGATGGGAAGATCTAAATTGAATTAAAGAAATAAGCTTATTTAATTTATAATTAAAAATATTTCTCTTTACTTTAGTAATAGTAATTTGGATAAATAAATGTGCTTGCTTCATTTCTTTTCTTTAACAAATTCAGCTTGAAGTTGCTTTAAGGCATATTTCACTACTTGAATTAGAGTTACAACGTCAACGTTGCCTGAATCATGATGCTGAATTAGCTAGACAACATGAGATTGAACGTTCTCGGTGGGAAAAGGTAAATTTTTGTGTATTTTATAAATTCGATACATTATTCCTACTATATATTCATAATAACACTGTTACTTTAAATTTTGGGTTATAATATTACACATAATTTATCTGGTCGTTATATAGGAGTTAAAAACACAGTGGTCTCAGCGACGTTTTGCGTCATGTTATTACTGATTGATTGTTGCTTCTGTATGTTTTAGTTCTTGATTTATTGGTGGTATCTGTGGCTCCATTGTAAACATTTTCATTTGATTCAGACTTGAGCTCATTGGTTTAGGTTTATTCAACTTCGAACTACTGATTAGAGGTTAGTACGCAGTTCCACCTTCCGGAGTTTGGGTAGCCTCATGCACTAGATGTGGTTTGTTACCAAGTGCATGTATCTGGTTATCTTTTTTAATATTTATAGTGCATGTATCTCCAACATCAAAGCAACTGATATCCCTTCGGTGTACCACTATAGTGAATCATGTAACTTGGTGACCATATTGCAAACGTGACTGATAGATTTAATTAAACCCTAACGATTAGACTCATGACATTGATTACTCCCATGTAATCACTTAGTGCATACATTTGGTCCATATATTCCAGCCAGCATTTAGGTATTATCAGATACATTGGTAATTATCGTGTAGCGACTATAAACGACGTGTTGTGGTCTGAACGCAGGAGACCAATCTTTGCGTCCTACTGTATACCTAAGCAAATCTTCCCTGAGTTCCGCGCAGTCCCAAAATGTCCTGACAATAGTAAAAAGACAATTATTTGTGATAAAATCTGCGGTACTATTTAACAGTAATAACATATCAATACTCAAACAGTCCCATTAGACAGCTATGCAGATCCAGAACTTTCTCAAATACAAAACAAGTACTACATAACAAAATTATTTCACCAAAATCAACCGTAAGAAGTACCTGAGAATCATGTAGAATATTACCAACAAGGTGGGATCAAAAGTTTCTCAGCACGAATCACGCACTAAACGCTTCCCACAGACAGTCCAAGGTCGAAATTCCCACGTCATAACCTTAACCTCATTCAAACAAATCACAATCGTAGAACAACACATTATCAACACCATCACACAACCACAAACAAAAGCGTTTAAATTGGGGATTACACTATAACAAAGGGGAGTAATAACGATTACGTCACTAGGTGACAGGCAAATGTTAGAACGATGATATACAGCTTAGGAGAAAAGCGGAAAATCATTACAAAGTTAGTTGTAATATCCAAATAAGTATCAACATTGTAATTAGGTCGTTTAGGAAGGATTTTCCAAACAATTATTCCGTTGCATATCACGTGAGTAAAAATTGACTACACTTTATTGAAATGAAAAGGATTAGCCCCAGTTTTCATGTAAGTTATCCGCTACCATATTAGTCCCAACCTCATTTAGCCCCACGTGGCCTTACTTAGCAGTTTTTTTGTTTTTAAAGCGTTCATATGCAACCTATTCTATCAATTTTATATTACACTAAATAAACTGTACATGATGAGTTTTTATTATTCTGAATATAGGAGTAAAGGATAGGAATTAATTTTTAAACCATTTCTATAATGAAATAAAAATGCTTTTGAACAATTGTCAGTTCGGTTGATTACAATTTATCATTAGACTATATTAAAAATAATGGTGCGTCGGTGGCACAGTGGTTAGGACGCTTGCCGACCATGCACATGGTCCGGGGTTCGATCCCCGGCCACCAACGCACTCCTTTACCTCGCCAAACCAGTAATAAAAAGCCGGTAAAGAGGAAAGGTTGGGCATGAGGCTAGCAACCTCATCCTATAAAAGTAAACACTGCTACAGAAACTTCAAGCCACTAGCTTGAAGCCCTATGTTCCACTTGGAACGTGAAGGAAAAAAAATAATGGCTTTAATGAAACTGATTAATCGGTGTAGAGTGTTTTTCACTCCTATTTGTCATATCTCTCAAGTGAATAAAACAGACCTCATGCATACAGTTTTATCTTTTTGTTGTTAAACTTCAAAGCCATTTGTAAACTTGGGTGCATGTACATATTTTTTAAGCTAAATTTTACTTTACTGTCTATGCATAGTATGTTATGCTTGCGTTATACTCTGTTTTGTTTCTTTTCATTCTAGCGTTTAGCAGCAACACTTGGTGAATTAAGGTATTGTCAAACAAATATTGGTAAACTTCGAGAACAAGTTGATCAACTAGAAGCATCAAGAAAACTTTCAGATCAGTCTGAACAAAAATTAGGTAAAAAAAGAATTAGATCTTGTCTTCATTGTTTTGTTGTATATACTACTATTGTTCCTTAAATTTATCAAGTTTGGTCAACTACCTGTTGAATGCTGTAAGCAGAAGTCTATTTTTGTAGTTGCCATATGTTTAAAAAAATAGTCTATAGTCAGATTTAATGTACACTATCAATATTGTGGGGTGTGCTACTGGCAAGATCTTGTAAGTAGTATATTATGTGTAATGTCTTCTTCAGGAATATTGAATATAGCAGAGAGATGGATTAGTCGGCGAAGCGGAGAAATGAAACATCCTTTTGCAACTACACAGAAAACATGAAAGGAAAACCAATGAATCACAATGCAGAGAATTTGTGCAAATGGTATATGTATTTTGCCATATCTGTACATCGATTCGCCAGTAAACAATTCCTCTGCTAATCCTGCCGTGTTCTTCTGTTATAAATATATTACTGAACGTTTATGTTGACAGAAACGCCTGTCTCATCCAAGCGTAGAAATGTGAAATTCTCCTCTGATGGCTTGTGTACCTTTATCAGTTACTTCTCCATGTTCACAAATGAGGACACAACACACACACACATACAAACGAATCATCAATGTCATAAGATGTGATCTGAGTCAAAAGTTCTTTTGTTTTATACTCTGTTTAGTTCTTTAGACGGTTTGGTTATAATGAGATGAATGAGGTATTGAAATACTTATGTATTTTCTTAAATCTGTTGAGTTTATTCATGTTTATTTTAACATTTTGAAAATAGAATTACGATATTTATCTTTTATTTTACCTTTCTTTATGCATTATTCTTTTCATGGATAAATAACACCTAACACGGATAGAACGTCAACAAATGGAATTAGATCAAACAAAAGCAACTTTAGATGCACAAAAAGAAGCGATAATCACCTTGAATAATCTACTCAATTCATTATTAGGTCTTAATCCAAGTAAGAAATTTCACTTATTACCTCTATATCATATCGGTATTTTCCATTATATTATATCTTTGTATAATTGACAATGTTTTACAACTCAACTGTGAAACAATATTGAAATCTCTAAGGATGAATATAGAATGGGGTATACTTTGTTCACGTTGAGCTATTGTTTTACTCGAGGAGTAATATTGACATATATGGTTTGAAAACAGTTAGAGGTGGTCGAACCGAAGCATATTATCAAACGTTGAACTATATAACTGCCCGTTGGAAGCCTGTACCAAGCGGGATTTTGATTGTGTGTCTAGTGTACTTGAGACTGTGAGAACCAGTGGTTGATCAACTATCAGAGACAGTTTGAAATGATTCACAGTGGCTCAAATTAATTCACCTTTTATCATCTGTTGAATCGCAGAAGATTTTCGCTAATATCTGCTACATCAGTCTTTGTCTCACCCGTCGTTTTCGACTGTAACACTATTCTGTTTTATTTCCTCTTCATTTTTTGTGTTCATCAGCTTCAGCTGATGTACTTTTGTGCAATGTTTTTATGTTGTCCACAACGGGAAGCTCACGGAATCCTTCGAAGTGAAGACAGGAGTAAGACAGGGTTGCCTACTATCGCCAATGATTTTCCTGATTGCAGTAGATTGGATAATGCGACAGACAGCGGGCAATGAGGAAACAGGCATAAAATGGACTCACATAAAGAACTTGGAGGATCTGGACTTCGCCGATGATATATGTCTGATTTCCCACAAACTGGAAGATATGCAAGTGAAAAGTAACAAGTTGGCAGAAGAAGCATCAAAGATTGGACTCCAGGTGAACATAGAGAAAACGGAGGTGATGAAGATTCCTGGCCAACACCAACAGCCACAGCAACAACAACAGACAGCAATCAGCATAAATGGGAGGAACCTGAAAGAAACAACCTATTTTACCTACCTGGGAAGCATTGTTTCAACTACAGGCGGAACTGACGAGGATATCAAAGCAAGGATCGGGAAAGCAAGGCAAGCTTTCATTATTCTCAAGTCTGTGTGGAGGTCAACAGCATTCAGCATCAAAAATAAGATCCGGATTTTCAACTCCAATGTGAAGTCAGTACTACTATACGGATCAGAGAGTTGGCGTGTCACAAAGAGCACCTCAAACAAGCTACAGACCTTCATTAACAGATGTCTTCGCTCAATACTCAAGATCAGATGGCCGGAAAGGATCAGCAACAAAGATCTCTGGGAGCGAACTAACCAGGAACGAATGTACAACAAACAAGCAGGAAGAAATGGAGATGGATTGGCCACACTCTGAGGAAACCAGCAAGTGACATCACTAGACAAGCCGTCGAGTGGAACCCGAAAGGGAAGCGACGAGTTGGTCGTCAGTGCAAGGGTGACCTGGAGGAGATCATGTGAAGAAGAATTGAAAGCGTATGGGCAGACTTGGAGCCAGGTGAAAACTCTAGCAGAGAACCGAACGCGATGGAGACGCATGGCTGAAGCCCTATGTTCCTCTAGGAACTAAAGGAAATAACAATAATAATAATAATAATTTATGTTGTCCTATGAGTCAGTATATCATAAGTAGTACACATTGAACAGTCTTACCCTTCAGTTGTACAAAGTTGCGAAAATTTAGTTGGAAATTAGAGTATTTATTTTTTCATGAATCCATACCACAAATGTACTTTTTTTCTACTAGGAGAGTCGTCATTATTTTCAGTTGAATAAGTCATAGTATAGTGCTAAATGACTATTGTCAAATGACATCGCGTGCCAGGACGACAATCTAGTGAAATCTGAATTGGAAGCGACGAGTGCGTCGTGGGTGTGAGGGTGACATGAAGGAGATTTTTTGGAAGGAGATGTGAACTTATGGGCAATCGTGGACCCATATGAAGAGGACAGCAGAAAGTGAAACAAAGTGGAGATGTGCTGTTGAAGCACTATTTTCCACTCGGAACCTAAGGGAATAATAATATTATCGAATGAAATAATTCTATTCTAGTATTATATTCTACTCGTTTATCAATTAATTTTGTAACCCTTTTAATCCTTTTACATATTCACTTAAAAGTGTTGTAGGCATTGTGGTGTAATAGGTTTTGTAGCCATTACTACACTTGTATCACACTATATAATCTTGGAGGTAGATTATTCAATTAACGAAATCTACTCAAATTTGTGGATTCATGTAATCCTAGTTTAGTGACTTTTGTTGATTATTTTAAATTTGTATCGTGAATGTAATGCTTTCTACTAGACGGTTGTTATTTTTCAAGTGACACAAACGATGGTGTTTGTTGTCTAGAAGTTGATTATATGACTTGAATGGATGCACATCTGTGCAAAGTTCTAAGTTGTTTTATCAGTCACTTATTCAGCGTGACTTGTCACTTCACAATGTGGTATTGTTTGATAATTTAATTTGTATACTTCATGAATATCAATATCACCGAATTCCTTCTTCTGCTTTGTCTCCTATAAAATATGTGCAGACGATGTATCCCCGAGTGACTTGGAAAGATTACAAGTTGGTTTGCTTGACTTACAGAAACGTATGCAACCGGATTCTTCTAACCAGTATTCAAATCAACACCAACAGCAAGTACCAATTGCATTCCCTCGTCAAACTCGTAAGTGTTCTGCACATTACTTTCATTATTATTATTATTACTTATGTTTCGTAATTTTCATGGGTTGTTTGGTAAGCTTTTTTATTAGACAGAGGGTCTCCTCGGATGATACGAGCTGTCGGTGGCACAGAGTTTAGGACTCTCGCCGATCATGCACATGGTCCGGGGTTCGATCCCCTGCTGACGCCCACCCGATATCAGTGGTCGACCTGCAAAATTGGGCTACCGATATCACATACTGAAAATTCCATACTTGTACTAAAAATACTGTGTGGTTTCAAGCTATCATAAAAAAACGGTTCAATTTATCATGAACATTTAATCACTGTAATTGGTATATTTAATTAATAAAAAGTGTAACCTTGTATTATTGTTGTTTGTCGAATGCATTTGACAGATCAATGTTTACCATTTGCGTAACACCCAATGTCTTCTTTCAAAGAAAATATTTATTATTATCATACCATTATTTTTGTTCCTTTGGGTTCTGAGAGGAACAACAGGTCTCCATTCTGTCCTATTCTCTACAATCTTCAGCTGGCCTGACAATTACCCACGGTTCCTCATTTCCTCCTCATACGATCTCCATGTCACTCGCAGACGTCCAACTTGTTGTTTCCCATTCGGGTTCCATTCGAGGGCCTGGAGCGCGACTTAATTCGACGGTCCCCTCAGTGTGTGTCTGACCCATCTCTATTTTGTCCTATATATTTATTGAGCATAGGTTCTTGGTTGGTTTGTTCTCACAGTTCCTTGATACTAATTTTTTCTGGACATTTGATTTTCAATATGAAGCGTAGGCATCTGTTGAGAATGTCTGCAGCAGACTGAAGGAAATTTTTCGTGAATTGACAAGTTTCTGACCCATATAGAAAGAATGACTTCACATTTGTGTTGAAAATTCGAATTTTTTTCTTTATACCGAGTTCAGAAGATTTCCAGACTGATTTCAGGGTGATTAAGGCCTGCCTTTCCTTCTCGATTCTTTCTTTGACATCATCCGTTCCGTCTGTAGTTGAAACAATGCTTCTCAGATAAGTGAAGGAAGGAAATCACCAGACTTTAAAGGTTTTCTTGTATAATTTGAATTTTGTAAATAAACTTTTTTGAACGTACTATGGTTAGACAGAATTATTCAAAATGTTTTTATCCTATTCTACGCCAGGAATTTTCCTCTCTATAGATAATAATCTTTTATTCTCTACTATCGAGGAAAACTATTATTATGAATTTACTTTTAGAAAACATATTAGGTAGTATGTAAGATAGTGTGGTACTTTTTACGTTCGTTGCGTTCTGAGCGAAATATCGAACCATCAAACTTTGAAGTTTCGTCAGCGGTGTTGTTTTTACTGGGCGGGGTTACTAACATCATCCCCAACCTTCCTTCTTTTCCAAGTTGACTACCGGCTAATAAACTAGGCTAGCTTTAGTAGTACGTGGGTTGTGAATCGAACCTCTATCCACTGCATGACTGGCGAGCATTCTACCGTTGAATCACCGATTTACAAATTTGAGTCGATGAAAGATTCAAACCAGCGATCTCTGAAGTACTAACCTGACCTTGTACCAGTTTACCTATGATACTGTTATACGGTTAAGTATACAACATATGTTTATTTATCAAGTATACATATGTATTACAGTATAGCTTTGTCAATTAACCTGCATACTTAAAGCGCAATATAATTAATTCCTTTTTACCGGCAACAGGAAAACCGTAAATTCAGGTAACCTGAATAACGGATAGAAGTCAATCAGACATTGATAATATATTATAAATACACACAGCACACTAGTTGGATTAATTTCGAGGAAAAAGACACTCAGGATAATAATATCATTAGTTCCATTATTAATTCTGTTTTAAAATATATAGTATGCATGAATTGACAATTTTCCGGTAGGATTATACTTTTTCTTCACTACTTTACAAATATTTCATTATATATTTTTGTCATATATAGAATAAGTTTGTTCAAATGCTTTGTTGATTACTTCATTAATATTTAATATGAAATTATTATCCTACTGATTTATGTATGTTGAATTGTAATCAAATTAAGTCTAACTATTTAATTATTTGCCTGCTTTGTGACTTAATTAATATTTACGGTGTCTATTTATGTCTTATCTTATTCATTGTTCTTTAACATCATCAGTCTGTGATAGCATCCTCATTTATTTTTTAAGAAAAATTGGAAAAAGGAACGTTATAACGGGATAAAGTAAAGTATATATGGGGAATAGGAAAACTGGTACGTGAAGAGATAATGACTTTCGCATTAATGTGCACTAAGGATGAAGATATGATTGATGTTGAAGTTAGAATTCATGGGTCAATGGATCGGGTCCCAGTGGCTTAATGGTCTACGAGCTCACCTTGTAAGCAGAAGGTCTTGGGTTCGAACCCCGGTGGGTGCGTACTGCTAAGATGAAACAACTGTCCAGTACTCCCAGTTGGTTTTCCAATGGTTCTCTAACTGATGTCAGCTCATGATGAAATCCTCCAACCAATCAAACAAAATCCCTTCAAAACAATTTGATTTAAAACTTGAAATTGGAGAGATTAGTAAAATTATAAGGACACTGATGCCCGCATAACTGTCTGCTGGTAAAAGTTATCACCAGTCTCAACTATTTGGTATAATAGGAATTATTAAAAAGACGGTTGCAGAGAAGAAAGTTTTCTTTTCGACGAAGTCATCAACTAGGCTGTACATTCGTGTATAATAAATGAGTGGAAAAGTATTTTGTATAGTTACGGTAAGTAATTGTGTCGTTAGTTCGATGGTAGAATGCTCACAAGAGGTCCGAGTTCGATTCAACGCACTCCTTAACTTCGTCTAATTTACTAGCCGGTGGGGAATCTGGAAAAGAAGAGTGGTTGGGTATGAGGCTATTAGACCCTCCGCGTAAAAACAACACTAATACTGAAAATTCAAGGCTTGAAACCCTTAGTTCCATTCGGAATGAAAAAAATAGTAAATAATATACTACTCTGGCTAGATCTATGATGTAAGATCTGCATGCAGTCTTTATTTTTTACTAACTGGTTTGTTTGTTGGTGGATGATCTGTGTTGAAATTAGGTTACATTAACCTGCTTAGGCCAATGCATTGGATGATGACCTCAGTAGCGCAATAGTAGCTTAACAAATACCAAGCGTGATCAGCAGGAGGTCTAGTAGTGTTTACACCTATTGTATCAACATTTAGTTGTTATATGGTTCATTTGAATTCTGATACAACTGCCAGAGAGAAGACACCATGTGACTTAACAGTGTTGAGTATGGTGAAGTGTGTGTGTGTGTGCAGGCAAAAGATATGTTATAATTTACTCAAAGGTGGAGATGATGTATTCCTTTGCAACCAGCTAGTTCATTTTGTATACTCGGTGGTTCAGTGGCAGAATGTCTGCCAGCCACGCATGCGGTCTGTGTTTAATTGTTTGCCGACTCACTTCTAACCCTCACCTAGTTTACTAGCCTGCAGTAGGCCGTGAAAGAGAAAAAGTTGAGCATGAGGCTAGCAACCCCACCTCATTAAACAATATCGCGGCTAATGAAACTTCAGGACTCAAGCTTAAAAGTCCTGTGTTACACTCGTAACATAAAGGAATAAAAGTATGCTTGGAGGATAATAATGGGTGTAAACCTCTCCTGATGCTAATTCGAATTTTCTGTTATTACTCAGAACACAACTAATTGAGATTATTATGTAAGTGATGAAATCTGTGCCTAATTCCGTCCATTCATATGTTTTTATATGAGAATTGGTGGAAATTGTTTGTCTCACAAGTTACTCAGACAACTGCAAATGACTGTCTAGTCGTGTACTTATCCTTCAGTTATTACCTTTGCACTTTCATCTCTGTAGTGTTCTTCAACCTACACCTCAGTCTTGGCTTCTATTCTTTCTTGAAAAGTACACATTTTCATACCATAGTCTTTGAAATGATTTGTTACCTCAGTGTCCATTTATTTTCGAATTTTCGTATACAATGGTACGTTGTATTCTATTTTATATCACTGTACTTTGTTTTCTTCTTTCGTGATGACTTCATTGTTTAATGTATCCATAAATTTATTTACCTTTTCTCTAAGGTCATTAGAAGCATCCATTATTTGACAGGATGTAGCTTATCAATCAACCTTTGTCATTGTTATTGTGTTTGTTTCTCTTACCGACGTTACGTTTCTTACCGTTAGAGACATCTTCTTTGTTTCTGTGCTTGTTATTTCCATTAACTGCACCTCTGAAATGATTGCAATTAGTGTATTTTGCGTGTATGCGTGTGTGTGTGTGCGCACGCTTGTCTAAAGAAGTGGGTGGCTGTTATCAATCAAGTTGAGACAATCACCTACTATCCTGCTTATATTTACGCTTTTTATCAAATATAAAGCATTGACTTTATCAGATTGATTAGTTTTTCGATTCAGTTAACGGTGGTTGTAATGGAAGTTATAATTCTAAATCTTTACTCTATTTGATGCATAAGGAATATTTATATTCTCTGCAATTGAATATGAACGTTTTTATTATACAAGTCTAACTGTATACTCTGTAAGTGGTATGTGTGTGTTTATTTTGTTTGTATTATATTATGTAATAGTTGTTTTGTTCATCTTATGTGGAATATTTGTTCACTGTGAGTTGATTATTTAAGTACACTGTATGTATTTCGACGTAGACTACACTGAGAAGAAACACAGTACCATGAGCGTTTTATACATGTTACACGGTTCATAACATTGAGACTCCTGGTAGATATAACTGAGCTGATCCGCTTATTTCTTCCTCCTCATAATATCTTTATAATATGTGAAGTTTGTTACCATATTAGTTTGTTTATTAGATGTATCACACAGTGAAACAGTACTATTTACTGGATGACGTTTCGAACAAAATTTATTGTTCATAATCATTATCAATTATAATCACACGACTTCGAAACTTCAGTTTTATAGTTTTCTTTGTCCTCTCCTATTTATCGTCCCAGATTTCTGGGACAGGTGTTGAATCATTCCTATTACATGTATTTGCAGTTGATTCGATAAACAAAGCTTCTGTTATCAATCTCTCCATCCACCCTGTGATATTACATTTTAAAACTGTCATCCTGTTCCATCCTATTGTGTGGTTGTGTGTAATTGCATGTGGTGAGTGCTATAGCTGAACTATTCTCTAGATTTCTTATCTTATTCGGGTCAACCTATCTAGATTTTGCTAGGTTTTTATGTTTGGCTAGTCTGACTGCCCCTGTTCTACTAGTTTGACCTATGTATTTGACCTGACAATCATTCCAGCAGGGTATTAGATAAACTAAATTGTTTTGTTTTAAAGGCTCCACAGGATCCTTTAACCAACAAAGCTTGTTTCTAATTGAGTTTGTGGGTTTGAATGCCACTTTTATTCCTGCCTTGTTAAGAATTCTCCTTAAGGTTTCCGAGGTTCCTTCCTTGTATGGAATTACTACTGATGATTTAGACTCCTTATTGTTGGTGTTGTCTTGCGCGTATTTGACATGCATGTCGTTATTATTATTATTATTATTATTATCACTATCACTACTATCATTATTTATTTCATTTTTACATTTCCCTACATACTTTTTGACTAATTTTTCAGGGTATTTCTTAAGTTTCAAGGCTTCTCTTATATGTATCACTTCCTGTCTTAGATTTTCCTTGGTACTACTTAGTTTTTGTGCTCTATTACTTAAAAATTTCACCAATCCTATTTTCACTGACATAGGATGGGATGATCGGAAGTCCAAATATCTGTTTGAATGTGTGGGTTTCCTGTAAACACTAGTGTTTAACTTCCCATATTCTTTCCTTTTTACACTGCAATCTAACATTGACAGTTCCGCTTCGTGACTTTCCAATTCATAAGGGAATTGAACTGCCTCCACGTTTGAGTTAATGTGTTCGAAAAATCTATCTATATCTTGTGGAATTATATGGAATTACTTACTACCACAGTGCCCAAGTTTTACACATATATGAAGTTTGTTACCCTTATTTGGTTGAATATGAATTAAATTTCCTTGTGAATAGGATTTGTTATCGGCTAAATATTTATCGTAGTATTATCTTGCATTTAATACCTCTCGCTGTGTTGAATCAGTAAATAAATGCATTCTGTTATATCAGAGAGACTTAGTAAAGGTATCTACCAAAAATATCAGCTTTTCCTTGCTTTTCTAGTTCTTCTACCTTTTATATTCTGTAATTTCTGAATACTTTCTCATACATTTCTTCAAAAGCTACTAGAATACATTTAGTCCTATAAATAGGTGAGGTGTGGGAGGTTTTTAAAATTTTAACTTCTGTAATTTTTATAGATTATAGATTCTAATTCTATATTATCGAAAGTCATAGTCATGTAAATCTCATTCATACTGATTGTAATACTTAATGCATGTAAGTGTGTACTGTGATAAATATACCATTCGAAGAACCATCGTGTTAATACTTAAACTTGATAAGTTTTCAGAGTAAGCAGCTTAATTCAGTAATCAGTGAATCTCCCTCTATGCTGTAAGTATTTAGAAGTTTATAGTAGTATATATATATCATATATAACAGGATATTGATTTATTTCTGATCGTATACATCTTTGTGAAAAAAGTTCATTATATTTTCTTTATCGACAAAATCATCTTCAGAGACTGTTTTTTTAATTTCCTTCACGTTCCCCAGTGAAACATAGGGCTTCAAGCTAGTGGCTTGAAGTTTCTGTAGCAGTGCTTATTTTACAGGATGGGGTTGCTAGCCTCATGCCCAACCTTTCCTCTTCACCAGCATTATTACTGGCTTAGCGAGGTAAAGGAGTGCGTCGGCCGGGGATCGAACCTCGGACCATGTGCATGGTGGCATAACTGATATACATACTCAGAAGCGGTTTCAAAAGTAAAATTCAAAATTACGTAATAGTCAGTGACATAAAGGAAGAAAGGGTTAAAATTTTGATAAGGTTAAAATTGTTATTGAGTGAGAAGAAAGGTAGTTGAGTATCCATTTAATACTCACCCACCCCCTATTACTCAATAATGGACTACTATACTGTTTTTGGTAAATTTAAATACGATTTTACAGCCCATGAAGATGATTTCACCTATAAAGGAAATTTTCTCTTCTGAATCGTCTTTTATCTTCTTCAAGATGTCAGTAGGTTTTTGCTTTCATATCGGCTGAATATATTTCTGCTCTAAAATTGTGTGACACAATACTGTATATACTCACAAAGTGAAGGGGCATTATTGTTTTTGACTTTTTCATGAAATCAGACAGCAGAAATTTTAATCAAAAGTTTATTATTCGACCTTCAATACTGGTTGCTACACTTACAGTGATAGTGCTGCATTAATAGTCGAAAGAAACCCCAGTGAAATTTCATATCGGACAATATAAAATGAACTGGCTTATCTGTGTGTACCTTTACATAAGATAGAACACATTTAAATCACACTGGAGAAGACAAACTTCTTAATCTTGATATTTGTTGTATGTATGCAACCAGCTGTAACCTTTAATAACCTAAAAAGTGCATCCGTTTCCTTGTGGGTCAGGGCATAATTGCATGTATTAGTTTTAGAATTACTACAGTTATCCATATAGTGTATTTGATCTAAGGAACCATAGCTGATTTAATGAAACATTCATGGTTTCAGCGTTTTAAGGTATTCACTTAGACATGCATGGCTAAATCTCTTAGACAAGCATATGACTACTGGTATGGTCAACTCGTTTGTTCACATAATGATACACCCATTGACTGGGGACTGATTTTCAGGAGAACCGAACACACCTTCCCTGCCTCTTGCGAGAGGAAACCGGCATACAGAATCATCCTGTGGCGCAACCACTCAAGAGCCTTATCCCTCTTTGGACCATTCACACCGTTAGTACATACAATAATGCATAGGTAAGCATAGTTACATCGATCAATGATCGCGTCAATCAGTTATACATTGCATAGACAGGCCCAATAGAGCCCATCTCTCATACAAGACTAACCAAATGCTTTAATATGGGTAAGAGTAGCGTGCATAGCAACGCTATAGTGACACAGGCCCCCATAAACGATGCCAGCACCTACCAAATTTAATGAAATAGTTAACCCTGCCAACCAATTTAGAATGCGAATATCCTCCATTAGTCTGCCAAAAATATGGAAAACCATCCATAGTCATTTAAGCGAGCTATGAGAATGGTATAACTTACGTTCCTATCGTCCATATAGCTTTTGCTATGGCTACAATAGGATTTATGGGTAGTAAGCAAGGCAGCCTAGCTGAGCGCTATTAGGCACAAACAAGCTTAAAAGCCCATGAATTTTATTTTCAATATTTTATTTAACTGTAACATATCTTGTTGGAAGTATGCTTCCTTTTGCTATTAGTCTGATAATATTACTAGATAGGTAGTCGTTGAATTTGTGAACATTTACTCGAAACTTGAATGTTACTTTACAAGGAGGTATTATTAGTCATCATTATTCCCTTGGGTTCCGAGTGGAACATAGGGCTTTGGCAGCACATCTGCATTTCATCCTGTTTTTCTGCCGTCCTCTTTAACTGGCTCCACAAGGAGGTATTACTGTCTATGATATGTACATGTTTCTGTTTGAACCAACCATCGGTGAATTCACTACTAATATTATGAAACGTCAGAAGCTATGGCAATTTACATATTAAATCCTGAACTTTGCATATGGAAGAAACTTTTTTAGTCGCTGAATTTGCAACGAACCTAATTTATTTCAATTTTTGGTTTTTATTTTATTAATCTTAGTTTTTTAAAGTTTTATTACTTTTTCCCCACTTCTACTCCTTATAACACTGATCTTAACATGACCCTCTGTCAATTTTATTCGAGCTCTACTAAATCCTGTCAATTATGTTATTCTGAGGAGTTATGGGTTCTAGTCCACACTCTGCCTACTTTAGCCTGGGTGACTGGGTATTAGCGTTAGCCTTCACACGATAAGTGTGACTTTTAGCGTGGTACATGGAAAATTTTGTTCTGCGTAACGCAGTCCAAACAAAAACAATGTTATTTCACTCAATTTAGTTGTTTAATTTTATTTTCTACCCGATTAATTCATTCTGAATTATGTAATTGAGAAACTAGAATTTCAATTACACCCTTGGAAATATTCTTTTTGCTGCTATAATAGTGTACTATATATATGTATTTAATTGTACAACTTGAGAATGATATTGCTAAAAAGAGCAATCGCGAGCCCGAATAGCTCAGTGGTAACGTCTCTGACTGCAGCACTGGGTGACGCGGGTTCGAACTCAGAAGGGACATGGGTTCCTTCAAGGTTGCAGATACGCCTTGCTGATGAGTGCCAACTAGCACGAAACCTAAGTCCAAGGCTTCCTGTGGCCGATTGCCTCCAACTATCCAATATCATCAGAGTAACTCTTCGCTGGTCACCTCTTCTTTTGTTATAGCTTACTGAGGATTTTTAAGGTACTTATGAAAAAATATATCAAATTGTCAGTTAAGTTGCTTTGTTCGGTTTATTATTGTACTCGCAGTAGATGTTTACCCTTATTTCTTTTTTCCAGTAATCTTTTGTATTATATTCTTGATAATTTACTCTTTACTAGTTCATCGTGCTCAATCTCTAATGACTGGTCTTACTGCACCTGGAAATGAACATATAAACAGAGTGGATTGGTTGAATCCACCAAATGTTATACCAACTCCTGTAATTCAATCTACAGGTGTAAATCATCAACTATATTGTAATGTACCTGAACATCATGATTTAGAAGATTGTCTTGGTCAATTACAATACAGGATAGAAGAGTTATCTGGTCAACAGGATAGTACTCAGGTAAAATATATTTACGTTGTGTATTGTGATTACTAGTTTATGATTTATTTTTAAATAAACGTTTTTTTTCAAGTGTTGATTTGTAAGGATTTGACTGATTTACAGTTTGATCACTGAGGACAGATGCTCCACCGATGACATTTGTTGATGGTCGTACTATGTATCGCAAATTGGCAGAATTTAGAATTCATGGGCTTTTAGATTTTTTCCCAGTGGCTGGTTGGTATACGAGCTAGCCTTGTAACCCTAAGGTCCTGGGTTCGGTTCCTGGTGGGTTCATAGGTGTGTACTACTGAAGATTTCCGTCTAGGATGAAACAGCTTCCGAGTATTTCCTGGTTTTCAGTGGTTCTCTAAATGAAGTCAGCTAATAACAAAACTTAAACGTTTTCTGTACGCCTTATTCTGTCTAAATTAATTCTCTTATATTTAACTTACATTTAATCCGTGTTGATTGCGGTGAAATGATGACCTGGCTAGCATCTGGAGTCTCATAGATCAGCTGGTAGTGTATTGGACTGGTAATTTGGAGGCTGTTTCTTCGAATCCTGCCTATGACCCACGTTTTCACTACACCTTGAATCATCACCGATTATATCAACAGATAATCTAAAATTATCTCAGGAAGTCTGCCTATCTTGTAAACGTTTTTCTTCTTTCTTAATTAATTACTTCATTTACCCTGTAAACAGTGTTCATCGTCACACTTAGATTTTTTAAAAAAAAGCATGAAAAAGCCAAAAGAGGTTGGATTCTCGCCCTAAACTAATTTATACTTTTATGTCAACCGAGATATATTTCACACCATTTGAGTTTTAACGGATGAAGACTAGTTGGTGTATCTTGCTTAACTCTACAGAAAATCAATCATGACCTGAATAGTTTCCTCGTAGTCTCAGATATATTGTTCCTGATGATATAAACATTGAAAGAAAAAAAACATTGATTTCCATCAATTTTCTCTACAGCACTTTACTCCTCTATTACTCGTTAATAATATAAGCTGCACTCATCATTCGGCTTTAAATATTAATACTTATTTCTACAATTGAGATAATTAAACTTGTACTGTTCAAGTTCTGTAGAAAAAGATTAAATCATAGTGTTAAAATGTTTGGCTTGTAAGAATATACTTAGCTCTAATGAAGATGTCTTTACTAACTGATACTACTCATTCAAGTATTGGTTTGTAGGGATTTGGTTGATTGGTTACAGGATTTCATCATGAGCTGACATTGGTTAGAGAACCATTGGAAAACCTGGGAGTACTGGACAGCTGTTTCGTCCTAGTTTGGGATTCTTCATCAGTACGCACCCACCGGGGTTCGAGCTCGCCTTGTAACCAGAAGGTCCTGGGTTCGAACCCCGGTGGGTGCGTACTGATGAAGAGCCTCAAACTAGGACGAAACAGCTGTCCAGTACTCTCAGGTTTTCCAGTGGTTCTCTAACCAATGTCAGCTCATGATGAAATCCTGTAACTGATACTACTTAGTCAATGATTTTAAACTAGGCAGCACTGGGCAGTTGTTTTTTCCTGATTGAGGACTCTTCTGAAGTGCTACATGCATGACTCCATTTGGAGATTGAACGCAGCAGCTTCAGGCTACGAATTGAGCGTTCTCACTACATATCCGCTTTTTTGATGTTCAGGTGTTCATTGGTCCCAACTTCTGTCAATTCTACTATATAGCGTCACATACAATCTGCTTTTCCATGACACTTTGGTTATTGCATTCACATCATGCAGAGGAAGGAAAACATTTGTCTTGCTGTATTGTGATGCTAACTTTTTCTTGTTGTTGTGGTCATGATCATAGAAATTTTTAATTCAGGAGTACAGATATTATTTTTTGATTTTGACTAATGAGTTTCTAAACTTTCTGGTTACAAGAAGTAAGTTAACCTTCACAGTTTGATTAGTTACTCTTAAATTTCTTGAAGATATCACATAACGTTACATTCAACATTTTGGTCTCTATTATTATTATTCCCTTGGGTTCCTAGTGGAACATAGGGCTTCAACTGCACGTCTCCACTTGCTTCTGTCTTCTACTGTACTTTTCACCTGCATCCATGTTATTCCATACTGTTTCAACTCCTCTTCACACGATCTCCTCCATGTCACCCTGGAGGAGATTGGTTCCCACTGCATCAGAGCTTTGGCTGCTGTTGGTGACATCATGATGGCCACTCCCTCGGTGTGCTAATGTTTGCCCTCTGGGTGACCAGAATAGATTACTGTCTCGCCAGTTGATAGGTGGCACCTTCCACATCCGTTCCATCTGCTCTCACAGATTCCCAACACTTCTATTCCATATCTTCTCATTTCTGCGGCTACCTGGGCAGCCTTCCCAGCTTCGTACACTGTACGAACATTCCACGTCCCCATCCTTATTTTTGCTTTCATCGAAAGGAGGCACATCGGTTGACTGGCTTCCCGAAGGCTTTCACCAACCTGTGTCATTTCGCTTTCATGATTCCAGCGAAAAATAAGGTTATTGTTTATATTTTTAGTATTTTTAATATATGTATGCGTTTAAGTTTCTGTAGCCATTAGGTTAAGTCTTGGGGGGTGTAGTTGCTAGCACCACGCCCCAACCTTCCCTCTTTATCCGGGCTTGGGACCAGCTAGAAAACTAGCGAGCTAGTAATCTAGGCGAGGTTAACATTTTGGTCTTACTTTACATTTATTGGCTTTTATGCTCTGAACAAAAGAATTAATTACAATCAGTTAGGGTAGAAATTTCATATTTACACTCAAACGTCATGTCAGTGGTTTAACCTAATTATCAAACATTTCTGTATATATATATATATATATATATATATATATTCCCTTTTTAAATGAAACATTCCGCTATTTTTGAGTAGAAGTACACTAAACTGTGCCGCTATAATAGTAACATTTTTATTCTTAATCTATTTGATAATATCTTTCCATTTGAAATTGTGGCATTTTTTTGTCCACTCACATACTGGTTTTCCCTTTCAAGTATGCAAACACACACACACACATATATATAATATACACACGCATACTTCCACTCCACTACTACTAGTCTACTCTATTTCTAAAAAGAAATTCTACTTGCTTATGGCTATTTCTAAAGGAAAATATTCTTAGTCATAGTACTGTGGGCGAGGAAGCATTTTTACTGTCAAGTTATCTTTGTTGTCCTGGTGATAGTATGTGTAAAGTAGTCCTTTCTCTTAGTATAATTATGAAATTTGCCTTAAACTATAAATGTGTATATATATACTCAATTTTGTGTTAACGTCACCGTATTTTTTCCTTTTTGAAATAATTTCATGAGCCTTTGACATATCCGTCTGTTTTATACCTTATGTGATGTGTCTATGGCTAACACAGACTACTCATGCACTTCTATGGCTTTTTTTCCTGTCACTTGAATGTTGTAAGGTTTTGTTTAATAATACCTTTCTTTTTAATATAAATACAATGTCAATGTCTCTATTGTAAACATAGAATAGTTCCTTCTTATCCTGTAACCATAATAAGAGATATATTGATTGATGATGATAGAATGTGATATTGGGTGTCTGATTACATTAGCTTACTACAACCCCCTTACAGATTAACTACATAACAGAATTTATTTTGAGACAAAAGGAGGTAAAAACACTTCCTGATGCATATTTTCTCTGCATAGACAGTAATGCAATTTTCAAGTATTGGTTTTGTAGGGATTTTGTTTGATTGCATGGAAGATTTCATCATGAGCTGACATCAGTTAGAGAACCACTGGAAAACCTAACTGATGTCAGCTCATGATGAAATCTTCCAAGTAATGCAATTATTTTGTGAAATTCTAGTCATCTCGTGGGAATCCGATGAAATGTAGTTAAACATGGCATACAATGCTATCTGAAACTGAGGCAACTCTTATAATTAACACTGTTATTTTTGGTGGATGGTGACTAGCAGTGAACAGACATCGTCGAAGCGTCCTTACTAGGAGCTGACACATCAACAGAGGCTGAACATTTCAGTCCAATCAGTCAACAGTAAAATCAAAATTGACTTGAAGCAAATAATAACTGGTACCTTGTGCACAAGAGGTGGCCTAAGTGCTCCAGCGGATGACGCTTTGACGCTTAAAACGAAGGGTACTGGATTTGAGTCCCTGTGGGAGAACCGCCACTCACTGGAGATTGCAGGTATATCCAGATGACGAGCCCCTAGTAGGACGAAAAGCTCATCCTGAATTACACTGCCAGTCACCATCCATCAAATAACACAATTTTTTTCGTTGATAAAAGTTTCTAAAGTTTACTAACTTTAACTGGTTCACTGTTGTGCTAATTTCTTATGTGATCTTTCGGATTATATCATTCAACTTACTCGAACCTTTTGGACAAACTTGAAAGAATTTTAAACATCAGTTTGATATTGAGTGTACAATCACTCTGGTGGTGGCATAGCGGTTAGGACGCTCACCGACCATGCACATGGTCCGGAGTTCGACCCCTGACCGACGCACCCCTTTACCTCTCTAACCCAGAAATAATGCTAGTGAAGAGGAAAGGTTGGGCATGAGGCTAGCAACCCCATCCTGTAAAATAAACACTGCTACAGAAACTTGAAGCCACTAGCTTGAAGCCCTATGTTCCACTGGGAACGTGAAGGAAAAAAAATCACTCTGTAGAAACGTACAAAGTTTAGTATCACACAAAAAACTCAAATTCAGGACTAACGACTCGCAAAATAAAATTAAAAAGATAAAATAATTTTTAATGAAAAATGATTTAGTCCAGTGTATTTTCTGGTTATTTACTGGTTTATTGACACTGATATTGATCTCATCAAATCTTTGCCTACCCCACAACTAGTTTGTTTTGAATTATCCTTCTTTGTTGATATGCGTTCAAGCGTTGCCTCTAACACGCTTAGTTTCAGTGTGGATGACAATATTTAAGTACTGTTAAGCGTATAAATGTTGTAAATGTCTTTAATCCCCGTTAACCGACAGATATATGAAA